AACAAGTATAACTTGAGGCACCAGTCAATCTAATAATAACACTGATGATCTTCAAACATGACTCAACCTCTGACGGAAGCACAAAACTCTAACGAGGGTCCGAAATTGATGAGCACTTCAAACTAGCAGACCACTATTATAGTCTTCATGCAATCATTGTTCAGTGGTTCTGGCGTTGAATCTGGTCATTATTACGCCTTGGTCAAAGACGAAACGGACTGGTTTAAGTTTGACGATTGTCGTGTCACAAAGTGTTCTGGCGATGTATTGAATTTATTCGAGTCTCTGGAGACACCCTACATTTTGTTTTATGAGATAGAGGACATTAGCAGATCAAGATCTTCAGATGATGTGGTGCTGCAGGTTTTTCCGGGTTTTCCTGCAGCTGAAAAAGCAAATGCACCACTAAAATGAAGTCGCCCCGGAGCGCCAATACATTTCTGTTGATATTTTATAATTTCATGATTTGTATTTTGGAAGTGTTGTTATAGTTTTTCAACTAAATTATCCCTCAGAAATTCGTTCTCCTCTGTTTCACACACTCTGTGTGCGTGCGTGCGTGAGTGTGTGTGGCCCTTGGTGGGTGCATGTGCGAATATCTGTGAACCTGTGATGTTCTTCACTAGTTTGGTTTCATTTTTTTGATAATAGTCTAAGATCCCAATTACAAACAACCTTCATCCATCTGTTTAATTGATGGAAATTATTTCAAGTGAAATTTAGTCTATTGAAAAATAAATCGTGTTCAGAAAACGAATAAATAAAAAAATGATTTTGGAACTTCACAGTAATTTGTTTATTATAAAAATATTCTACCGTTCCTGAGTATGAATACTATCGAATATACAAACGTTGGGTTACTTAACTTTTTTCTGGTATAAGTATTGGATTGACAGATATAAACTGGTAAGTCGATATTAGTGATTTACATCAGTCTCTTGCATCAATAAGCGCTATTTCATTGCGAACACGATGATGTAGGGTTGGCTGCGAAAAATTTGAGCAGAATCTTTATTTTAATCTTTGTTAAAGATATACCTACTGACAGAACTCGCGCTCCCGCAAAGCTGAGATGCCTACATAACCTATTTGGCGTCAGCGTTTGATGAAATGCTGAACAAGCAAAGAGAAGGATTTCAAAAATTTTGATGTATGATCAAAATACTAAATCATTATGGCCGTTGCATTTGACTAAGATTTGACATTATTTGCATCGCAGAACTTAAACATATAGCTGTTCTTGATTGTTTGTATCAGAAGCTCTGTTTTACCTATATTGTCATTTTCAAGTCAACAGGTTGACACTTATTTATCTCAAAAACAAAACTTGTTTTGAGCTCAATATTATTTGATCGAGTAGGACAGCGAATAACTTTTGGCCAAACTGACCCGGTCTGGAATAGGAGTAATGTCAACGAAATACACCTAGTAACAAAGCCAATTGAGAACAGTCGGCAGTGATTTATCTCAAAAATTAATGAAATGAAACATTATTCCAAAATTTCAACAGAACTCGATGCACAAAATGAGCAATACATTCTCAATACATAAAAATTAAATAGAATATTATTCTTAGTTTGCAGTAAAATCACAGTTTAATTTAAAGGTACATAACAATTCAATTATCAAAATACATAATTCGATTATGCCCATCACTAGCCCCCCCCCATGCCCCCTCGCGGGTTTAGTGCCCTGAGTTGAAAGTTTCTCCACACGGTTACTGTGTGCACAGCATCTCATCTCGTCCATCCACCCCCGATCCTTCGGAGCGGTACCCAACTTACTGATAAGCACTTAAGCAGGATTGACATCCTCTTTTAGTCGAAAGTTAGCTTTTAGTTGCTTTTGCTTTCTAATCTAATGTTTACTTTTATCACAGAACAATAATTAAGAAAAACATGGTTTTCCTAACTCAATTTTTGCATGGGGTCCCCAAAAACTAACTGGAGACGAGTGTCTTTTGTAGCGAGCAAGAGTTGTTTCTTAGTGAGTCTGAAAATGAGGTGAAATTAAATCTGGTTAAGAATTTTTTTATACTTACCGGAGCCACCTGATAGCGATTCTCTGAGGTGGTCTCTGGTTCTGCTTCTTTGGCCTCCTGTGTTTGTCCCTCTCTCGGAATCTGGGGTCATCCCTGTTAAGTGCATTTTGTAGGTCGCTTAGCGCTGGGTTGTCGTGCGCTCGAATTCTGTCAAACGTGTCCTCTGCGTGTTGTCTCATATATGCGTCTACGTAATGTATGTTCACGTCTAGATTCCGGAATATGTACCTATTCGGTACATATCTTGGACCGCTTACAGCGACCCTTACGTACGCGTTCATAAACGACTGGATTTGTCTTCTGTATGTCGTTGCGTAATGGCCCCAGGCAGTGCAGGCATACAGGATTGTCGGTAATAGTACAGCCTTTATCATTAGCAACTTCACTTTCAACCTCATGTTGCTTCTTCGACCTATTATTGATAATAGGTTTTTTCGGGCAGATCTCGCCATTCCTATTCTCTGCCGTACGTGAGACCTGAACGTTAATCTTATGTCTAGGTTGACTTCCAGTTATCTACCTTCGTTGGTCCACGGAATCTCTTGTCCGTTGAAGGTGACGTTTCCTTTCAGGTGTACCATCCTCTGGGGGAACAGTATTGCCTGACTCTTGTCAGGGTTTATACTGATGTTCCCACAAGTTGGCCCATTCCTCTAATATATCTGCCTGTTGCTGCAAGTATCTAGTGACATGCCCTTGGCGTGTTGATCTCGCCAGCAAAGCTGTGTCGTCCACGTAGAGCGCCAACTTGTTAAAGTTGTTCTCCGGCTTGGGCACGTCTGCTGTGCCTATCACTAGTAAATCTAATCTCAATATTTAGGTTTGTTCTGGTTCTACGAAATTCAGGTTCTAGGACGTCAAGATCATGTGCAGTTGATATAGAGCGTTCTGGTTTATTGAGGATAATTTCGGATTGATGAATCCTCTGTTCTGGTTTCGATTGCGAAATGATCCTGAACTGTCTTGAACCGTCCCGAATCGTTCTTGCTCTCGAGGCTGAACTGTTAAGAATAGTTCCCGTTGCTCATGCGCATTCATGTGGAAATTTGTTTGAGCTGTTTTCTAGCATGTTTTTTATTTATTTGATTTAAATAATTGATGATTGAGATTAAATAACATTTAAACTGACTTCAGAGATACGGTACATAACAAAATGGAATGATCAACAGTATTTTCTCGTCTCAATCTCTTCATATATACGATAGGTGGCACCCTACGGTAGAAACGGTTGCACGTAACTCTAGGGTTACAGATATAATTGGAAAAATTCTAAGGAAGCATAACATAAAAACAGTGTTCAAGCCGACCAGGAAAATGCAATAAAGCCCGAGATCTGCGAAAGACAAAAGAGATCCACTATCAGCTGCGTAAGTATACCGTATACCATGCACCTGCGGGAAAGTTTATATCGGTACCACCAATAGATCCTTGGGTACAAGGCTGAATGAACATCGGAGAAACTGTAGATTAGGTCAAATAGAAAAATCGGCAGAAGCGGTTTTAGCGAAGGAGATCATACAATACTGTTTGAAGATGTGAAACTACTTGCACCCGACCATGGATACCACAGGAACCTATAGAAACCCATAAACATACCGAAAACTACAACAAAAAAAGGCGATAACGCTTAACCGCATTTGGAATCCCATACTGAAAGATGCTGAGGTGGCAGCAGTGCAACGCAATGTAACAGGTGATTACACTTCAGCCAAAGATGCTGAGGTGGCAGCAGTACAACGCAATGTATCAGGTAATAACACTTCGAATCAATAACAACGCACCAACTAGAAAAGCGGGCTACCTGTGTATAAATACAGCTTACAAACTAGAAATCACTAGTCTCTGACAAAAGTCAGTCTGAAGGGTAGGAGAGCTAGGCTCCAGCTTGAATAAAATCAAGATGACGAACATGCAAATCACTTGTCATCGGTGAACCATCAGGATAAATAGACCTCTGAAGAAGCCAGCCCTCTCTGTTATATTCTTGGTATTAATCAGACAAACATGCATTTTAATTAACTTCTTTAATATAATAAAACAAGATACATCATCTTGATACCACATACTACTATTAGACTCTCGTTGACCTAGGTATGTTCGTTGTTCGTCAATCTGGGTATGTTCGTTGACATAATTCGCATATCCCTCTTTTTACAAAACTAACTTACTGCTAAAGCTAATTAGAATTCAATTTCTGAGACTTGATTATTTTTCTGCTTTCTTTAGATATTTTATTCTTCATTAAAAATTTCATCTCATAATCTGAATCACTTGTAGAGATGCTACCAGATTCGTTGCTTGTGTTTTCATTGTTTTTGTCATTATGAACACTTTCACTGTCTATCTCTTCACATTCACTTGGTTCTATTATTATTTCTATATTAGTAGCATTCACCTATCCAAGTATTTTATCTAGTACGCGGAAGAGAGCACCCGCGCCGCATGAGGCAGCATTTGCCCCATTTGTAGCCGCTCACAGTGTGCTCAGTCTGTTTGCTCCTGGAGAGAAAATGAATCCATTGGGAATAGCTAGTACTTCGTTTATTATTTTACACAGTATATTAACGAAGAAACGACGTAAACGTCGACGATGGTCATCGCAACTGTTTTTGAACAGAAGTCGTCATAGTACCCTAAACAATAAGTTATTGTTGGACAATTTATCAGATGAAAGAAAAAATTTTCAGAACTTTACAAGAATTGCAAAAAATGACTTTAGATTTATTTTGGACAAGATTAAAAGCAAAATTGAAAAACAGGATATACACTTGAGGCGGTGTATTAGTGCAGAAGAGCGATTGGCATTGACTTTACGTTTCCTTGCAACAGGGGATTCATACACTAGTTTGCAATATTTATTTAAGATTTCTAAACAGCTCATCTCAGAAATAGTGCCCGAAGTTTGTCAGGCTATAGTTGATTGTTTCAGAGAACACAAAAAGGTAAGTAAAACCAAAAGTTAATTAGTGACAAAATTTATTCATGTAAAGCAACGCATTGTAACTAAACTTCAAAAGAATTATATCTGACCCTTGGGAATAATCGAAATGTTTCAAATTCTTTTTTAAAACACTCAACATTGACTTAGGAAAGCAGTGTTTGGTCACCATCAATCTCAGCATTGTAACTGCTGAAGTAAACAGGTAAATCAGATTGAGGCATGGAATGAGGGGTGGATGATCGGGATATGGATGTTTGCGAATCATAAGTGACCGGTGAAAGTTGGGAGCTTGAAGAAAAAGTATTTACGGGAGAAATAGTCCTGCCTATAAAAGATGAATAAGGTGTGAAATGAGGTTGCGTGAATATTTGTGGATTGGATTGTAATAACGTTAGTTGAGCTACTGGCTGTGTCATAACCCGATGTTGAGTAGTTTGTACTGGTTGCTGAGGGAATACGACAGTAGGTTGCGGAGGAAATATTGTTGGTTGATCATATTGAGTCTGCTCTAACTGAAATAATATATTATTTATTTTGTGTCGAGCAATTGAACGTAGCCGAGCGTCGAAGTTACGAATTGCATTTCCAACGTGGCTACCAAAGACTACACAATCATCTGACACGGGAGTGAAGGCAGATGTAGACGCCACTTTTTTTAAATACCCATATGCCTCAGAAACCATTGGATTTTCGGCAACTTTCCTGCGTTTAATGACACATTTTTTGGGAGACTTAAATCCTTTCTTTGGGGTATTTTGGTGTGTGGTTCCAGTATCAATTACTGGTGTGGATTCAAGCTCGCTAATATTTTCTGACTGTGTGTTGTCAAGATCGTCACTTTCTTCTTCCTCAATCTCGTTTCCCTCGGAAGCTGTTGCTAAACTCTGAAAAACAAAAAAAATTATGGAAGCGACAGAAAAATGCTCAAGAAATACAATACACACAAACAATATACCTAACAAGTTTCTTAATTTTTTTTCTTTTGTTGCAGGTTCCATCGTCACCAGCAGAATGGGAAGAAATCGCTCAACAGTTCGAGAACAAATAGAATTTCCCAAATTGTTTAGGCGCATTGATGGCAAGCACGTAGTACTACAAGCCCCTATAAAGAGCGGCAGCGTTTTTTTAATTATAAATCACAGTTCAGTATCGTGCTAATGGCCATTGTAGATGCCGATTACAATTGTATCTATGTTGATATTGGCTATCAGGGACGTGTCCCTGATGGAGGAGTATTTCAAAATTGTGAACTATATCAAAGACTAACGAACAATGCCTTAAATGTTCCTGCTCCTAGAGCACTTTTTGGAAGGAGAAATGAAGTTCCGTACGTATTTGTGGGTGATGCCGCTTTTCCGCTAACGGAAAACTTGATGAAACCTTACCAATAAGGAACATACGTCAGAGGATCGCCAGAAAGAATATTTAATTACCGACTAAGCAGATCAAGACGGATAGTCGAAAATGCCTTCGGTATCATGTCCAGCATGTTTCGAGTTTTACGCAAACCGATGCTTTTAGAAGCAGACAAAGCAACATTAATTGTAATGACTGTGGCTTGCCTGCACAATTTTTTGTGTAGAAGTAAATCGTTTAGAGGAATATACACTCCTGTTGAAGCTGTAGATAGAGAAATGGAGGGAAGCACAATTTCTGGAACTTAGCGGAACGACAGAGATGAAAGAACATCCCTTTTACCCCTTAGAGATGTACCCCGAAGATAAACCTGCAATGCTAAGGCTGTAAGGGACGAATTTAGAGATTACTTCATAACATCTGGGGTAGTACCTTGGCAAGAAAAATATGCATAACCACATAAAGTACACGTATAAATACAATATACGAATACCTACTTATTTATTTATTTGTTAACATACCGCATTATATTTTATTTACATTAAATTGTACTTACGTCTGTTGTTTTCCTTGGTTCATTTTCGTTTAGGAATTTGAGGGCTTCGAATACAAACCACTTAGACTTGTATATGTCATCAGTACCTAGAGAGTTCGTGATTAATCGTATATACTAACAAGATAGAATCAAATTACCTTTTCCACTACCCAATGATTTTTTAACTCGTGCCTTTTCCCGTCTGTACTTCATTTACGTCTCTATCGAGTACCGCTGCAATTTCAGCCCAAGCGTTCTCCTTGCCATAACATCGACCGTGATTGATATTCTTTAATTAGACCTAAAACTTCTTCTTGCGACCACTCCATGTTTTTTACTGTAGGTATGCAACGCATTGCACAACGCATACCCGTCCACACTGAGCCTTACGAGCGTTGCCTCGCTTTGATGGACCGACAACTTTTGGATCGGGTTGAGCACATGTGCCGCACAACCCGAGCATGCCTCGTGCGGTGCGTGCCTTCGTCCACATTTGAATGCTCGTTCTGCCTCGGCATGCTCATTCGGACCGAATGCTCTAGTCTGTACGCACCTTAACACAGATCTACTACTAGACTCTCGTTGACGTATGTTCGTTGTTCGTCAACCTGGGTACATTCGTTGACATAGTTCTCATAATACTCTCGTGCTGGGCGAAACGTTATGATACAGTTCCAAACCACGACGGCCTTCAAACCCGAACGAAGATCGTAACACTGAAAACCTTGGCCGCGAAAGCCTCAACCAATTCAACAGTTTCGGATGTTAAGAACCAGAACAAACCTATAAGGTTGGTTATACGGGTTATACGAAAACACAAACCTAATTTATAGTTCTGTGTATGAAAAATATGAGGATAAATATCAGTGTTGCCAATCATTAAACGCCATACACTTCAGTATGAGCACTACTAAGACTGACGTCTTCGGAATGAACACTACCGACACATTAGAAAGCTTCTGAGGTACGTGTAGTGAACGAGCTGCGGTTTGGAAAGTTATTCAGTAAAATATCGGAATAAAATGTTATTTGAATTAATAATACCTATGATTATATCTATCAATAGCCAGTACGATGTCGAAAGAAATGAATAAAGCTGGACAAAAAGTGCGCCATACAAAAGTTATTTTATAAGAATCTTATTTTTCCCTTGTAATTTTTTTTCAAGCAATTTGCATAAACCAAAAGTTTGAAATTTATTACATCTAATCACTTCAATATCCTAACCTAATGATTTCAAAAATAGACATTTCAACTTTCATTAATTATTTGGCTATTTCTGAACTCAGTGAATAGGTAATTAAGTAAATTTTTATTTTTCGAAACGCCAAATGTTATAACACCATCTTCGGCAGTGAAAAGTTGAGCTACAATTTCACCTGTTAGAAGGTAAGTGTATGAATTTCGATCGACGGGTACACGGGTTCTACACTTTCGTTTTTATCATAAATTGTAAATATATTCTACATTTTCTTACGATTATGAACTATACTTCATCGGCCAATCATACAGTTTTTACATTAGAAACTCATAAATAAGGCAAACTTCTGCAAGTCACTAGCTACAACAAATACAGTAAAGAGTAAATGCACGTTCATGCTTGACCGAATACTCGCATTTTTATTGCGAATCGCAAAATAACAATTGCATTGAGCATATTTTCATGTGAATGATTGTTGTCTGTCATCAGTTCCTTTCAATATCAAAAATCCCAAATCAAAAATAATTTTCTTTACATTGACACATGTATCTATCAAGAGCCAATTACCAGATGACCCACTTGGCTAACGAACAGTGGAAACGAAATTTGCATTCTTCTTCTATTTCCAACATAACCTTTTTGTCTTTTGTCAGGCATAACCTATGTTGTTTCTGATTGTTTGTTGGACTTTCATTATTACAGTACATTAAGGATTTTAAAATTTTGTTTTGCTAAAAATGGTAGTATTCACTTGCAATCATTGTGGAGAGAGTTTGCAAAAACCTAAGGTTGAGAAGCACTATGCATTTGTGTGCCGACGTCCCAAATTTTTGACTTGTGTGGATTGTTTCAAGGATTATAGGTAATTATTCATGAAAAGTGTTCAAGTTCAAACTTCAATAACATTATTTGAAGGGAAGATGAATATGTAGTTCATACAAAGTGTGTAACAGAAGAGGAGCGATATGCTGCAAAAGGATCATTACCAAATGGAATTGTAAAAAAGGGTGAAGTTAAGCAAGAATCCTGGGTGGAAATGGTGAGGTCTGTCATGAATAAAGAACTCAACATGAAACCATCTCACCGGAATCTGTTGAATAAAATATTAACATTCACCAACATTCCAAGGAAGAAACCAAAATTTTTGGTAAATTTGGAAATATGTTTTAAAGAAATTACCCTTATTTATTCACTTATTTTTTTTTCAGAATTTCATAAAAAGTTCTTCAGGAGGCCGAGTTAACATGAAAGAAGTTGAAGAAGTGTGGGATATTATAGAGAAATATAAAAATGAACAGTCTGCAAATAAAAGTGAAAATAATACTAAAAATGGTAGTGAATCAAATGCCACTATTAATAAAACTGATGAACTAAAAAAAAGTTCTTCGAAGGCACCATCGGATAATACTGAACTAGTAGAAGTGGAGAAGCAAAACTCAAAAGCCAAGAGGAAAAATTTGGATGAAGATGTGACTGTTTCTAAAAAAAAAATTAAACTTGAAGAGAATTCAGTTATTGAAGAAACTCAAACTGAAAATGAAAAATTCAGTTTCCAGGATGAAATAATCCGCATTGTTACTTCTAAAGGCAGAATATCCTATAAAAAACTAGAAAAGAAGATTATAAATGCATACTTGAAACATAGTGGAAAAACAGAAGTAACTCCTAAAGTTATTAAAAAGTTCAGTAAGAACTTAAGGAAAATTTCTAACATAGAAGTTCAAGATGATTATGTTTCACTGACATGCTGAGGAACCACACAAAATTTCATTGTATAGCTGGTTTCGAATCAAAAAGTATTGTAAATAAAAATTGTATTTACAAAAAGTATTTCAATTTGCAATAGACTATATCTGAATTGAGAAACTATTTAATGGTTCCTTAATAAATGGTGCAGAATATACTGAAGAACAGGACTGGACAGTAAAATTCAAGTATATGTGTATAACATACAATCAGTAAACGAATTTAAACTTTGAGTATCAGGTCCATGCCTCGAATTACTCCATATAGCACTTTTCAAAAATGTTGGCATGAACAATAAAAGTAAAACTAATTAGAAAGGATATCAAGGTGAGGTAATGTTTTTGAGACATTTTTTAAATACTGATTTCCATCAACTGTATTCTGAGGTCGTTAGTGTGCGAGAGGGTATTTCAAGTAAATTACTCTGATTCAGTGAAATAAAATAATTTACATTGGTTTCAATATATAGTAATAACAATAGTTTCAACTTTTTTGTTATTTTGGAGTAATTTAGAATCGAAAAATGAAAATTGTATCATCTGTGTGCATAGCATAATTAGTGCTTCATCTTTTTAAAGAAATGAGATATTTATTTGAAACTCGTAAGTATTGTATAATCAATTATGTTTTAGAAACGTATTGAAAATTCGGAAAGATGTTTTTTTCGGCACTTTTCCAAAAAATTACAGTGTCAAAAAATTTGTGGTACCTTTTTTATTCTTCTCAATAATTTGCTGGGTTACATTCATGAACTTATTCAGAGTACTGTGAGCTTACTCTGAATCTTTCATAAATAGGCTCTAGTATTATAGGGCTTGTACTTTTTAACATTCAGATTTACTCAAAGTTAATTGTAGTTATGATATATTACAAATTAAATCCGAGACAAATATTTGGTGGTCACTAATATATTTTTCAATACATAATATTGATTAAATGGCAATATGTTTCTGATCAAGTGATCAAACTCTGCTCCATTAACAAGATTAGGTTTATGATTTAAACCCAGAAAACGACAAATATAGAAAAATCCTATTTTATTTGTAACAATGGAGCTACTGTAAATATCCATATGGAACCAATTTTGTTTGCATCCAAGAGTTGTATGAAAATTATCCGATCTTTTTTGCATACCTGTTAATGCTTCTGAGTGGAAAATGGCAAAAATTATTTTCTCAGACTATTAATATTACGTTGAGGATTTTAATGTGGTGGTAGACAAAATACATATGTGATGGAATTGGCCGATACTTGATGAAAATCCATAATATATTCAAGTAACACTTTATTGTGATTTTTGACTAGACAATTTACAAAACCGCAACACATGTTTTGCTATACGACAGTGTTTGGGCAAACTTCTTATTTTCGGCAAAATAAGATTTAATTTGACTGTTTTGATTTTTATTCAGAAACAAAACTGACAATAATAATTGTAACTATATAAAACAAAACAATCTTAACTTTTCAATACTAGGTGTGAAATTAATTCACATCCTCCGGGGCTCGCAAATGACTATTTTGGCTTCAACAAAATGATTTTTGTGATGGGACGACGATGAACACCTGTTGCTCTAATCACCTCGACTTCCCGTACTATGCCAACTGGACCAAAAAAAAAAAGTGTGTAACTTTTCCTCTTGGCCATGAGTTTCAGGGAGAACTATCATCTGCAATAATAATGATGTCACCTTCTGCAACATCCCTGTTATTGAACTGCCACTTTCTTTTCTTTATCAGCGAGGGTACATATTCCCGTAACCATCGTTTCTATAAAGGGTCCGCATATCTTTATACCACTCGCCAATGTTTTCATTCTTACAAGTGAATTTATATCAGCAGAATTACCCTGTGAATTCACATCATTGGAAGTTCCAATAAGGAAGTGGTTGGGCGTCAAGGCTTCTGCATCTTGATGATCGGAAGATACATAAGTTAGGTGATTGCTATTTACTGAATACTCAATTGAAAATTTCACAACTCTCGTTGATTATAAAAACATGATCTATCTTATATCTTTTCTACAGAATAAGGTCATTTAACCTCTCCAAAAATCAAGAACTTTGGACCTTCAAACCAATTCCGGAAGTTATCAATGTTCCAGAGACCTCTGGTCACATCTGCTACATTGAATATTACTGGAGTTTTTTCCCAACACCAAACCGTTATAACACCTCCACACGTGTCTCGATCACCAAGTGATCATCTTCAACAGGGAGATCAAGTAGTTTGATCTTCCTCTTGAAGATGATAACTTGGTGATCGAAACATGTGTCGAAGTGTTAAAATAAAGGTTTGGTGTTGGGAAAAAACTCCAGTAATATTTATTACTACACCAAAGGTCCCAAACAGTGCATCACATGCTACATTAAACTTTGAGGGAGCCAATATCATTTATCAGGATTTGTATTACTGGAAATTTCTTCTTTTGGCAACAAAAATCTTATAGTTCTTCGGATGTGACTTAATATAACTCAAAACTATTTTAGAATCAATCCAGAATTTTTTATCTATTTTCAGGCTCTGACCATTTGCAATAGTATCAGCCAATCTTGATCCAAGAAGAGCTGCTTGAAGTTCAATTATGGGTACTGTTATGGGTTTCAAGGAAGTTATTCTTGATTTGGCCATTATCAAAGATGTAATCTGATCACTGAAATCTTTAGGAAATGTGGCACAGCAGAATATCATTTTTCACTGCTATCAGTGGAAGTATGTAGTTGAATTCCCTACAATATAACTTCTAAATCTATACCATGGAGGAATATTCCATTTTTTTATTTTGTACACTGCAGATATCCAAGATTTCCATTTTCCAAATAGATCAGGAGTGAGTTTTTCATCCCAATAAATTTTTTGATACCATACTTCCTTCATAAAAATTTTGACTTGTATAGTGAAAGCTGCTAACAGGCCAAGTGAATCAGGAACTGACATTACCCATTAAGATAGTTCTCTCTTCTTGGAAATATTGTCTGTTAAGTATTTTCTTCGTGTTTTTTTCAAAAATGTATCTGGAAAACAGATCATCTTTTGTATTCCATATTAAACCTAATGTTCTTTCAGACGTGGGTAATTTTTCAATATCGGTACTACTTTTGGATCGTAATTCAAGTAAATTTGTCAGGACATGACTAGAATTGATCCAGTTCATCATTTTGAATAGAAGAAGAAGTAGTAGTAGTAGTGTTTATTGGCCATCTTTACATATGTACAGAGTACAATTGGCAAGTCAACAAAGTCGCTGACAGTCATGAGAATATAAAAATTTCACGTTACATAGTTAAAAATAAAATAAAAAAATAAGAATTTAGGTAAAAAGAAAACTATATTATATGTATTTTTACACATTAAGTTTTTTACTTATTCGGTGACCATTCATTGTTTGGATTGCAATGCCAGAAATTCCTCTATAGAATAAAAACTATTTTCCAGAAGGTATTTTTTGTTGCATATTTAAAGCTGTTATAGCTATTGATATTCTTTATACATTTTGGCAAGTTGTTAGAAAGAAATATGTAATTATAAAATGTAGACTTTTCAAATGTTGCAGTTTTATGTTTTGGTATCTTCAATATAGAACTTCTTGATGAGTAGTTATGATGACTTCCTAACACGTTGAAGGCAGAAATGTTGCTTTTCAAATAAGTTACACATTTCAAAATGAAAATAGAATGGAAAGGCAGAATAGTGTTGTTTGAAAACAGTCCTACATAGCTCCCTGTATTCCAAATTAAATAATAGTATAATTATTCTTTTTTGAGAAGTGAAAACTCTTTTACATTCAGTAGCCAGTCCCCATGTGCAATATTATTTGATATATGGCTTTATGCAAACGCATAGTATAAATTCAAAATTTTAGGTCCAAAATTGGTTTCATATGAAGAATTGCATAGTATGCTGCTTTGAATTGTTTACAAACAAAGTTTATGTGGAATAAGAAATTAAGAACTTATCTCTTTCTGTCACACATACGAGCATAGAATTCGCAAGCTCTAGAATTTCGTTTGGAAGCGATTCTATCGGCGTTGACGGGGAAGGGGGATTACTTTAGAAATTGACATCATAGTACCGAGATTTCGACTTTGACGTCACATTTCGATTCTAAAATACATTTCTACTTATCAGAGTCCCGCCACTGCGGTAATATGATTAGGAATATCGTTTATAAAAAAGAGAAAAATTAAGGGCCCCAAGACAGATCCTTGGGGAAGAAGAGAAGTAGTGCATTCATTCGATAGTTGTTGGTCTACTTTGATGAGAATACTTCTGTGGGAAAGATAAGACTCAAACCATTTTGACAAGTCACCTCTTATATCCAGATAACTAAGTTTTTCTAATATGAATTTAATATTTAGGTAGTCGAAAGCTTTTAAGAAATCGAACATAAGAGACACAATATATTTTCATTTATCTAAGGAAGTGTAAACATAATTCAGTAAATGGTATGTTGCTGATTCCGTTGATTTATTTTTCCTAAAACCATGTTGAGAAAGCTTCAATAGGTCATAGCGTTCTACAAAACTGATTACTACATTGTACACACAGCGTTCAAGCACCTTTGAAAATCCTGTCAATCGATATATTTGGCGGTAGTTATCTATTGTTTGTTTGTCCCTTTTTCTGTGTAGGGGAAATTATCATCGGTTAAGAAACTCTCCTTCGGCTAGAGATGAACTGATTAGTGTTGTTAGAGGCGATAATTTTCAGCAGCTTCAGTGACAATTCATCAATCCCAGAGCATTCTTTATTTTTCAGCAATTTAATGATGTTTGATATATCAGTCTCTGTTAGGTAGGGGACAAATGAGTTTACATGAATTCGCCTTGGCGAATGGCTTCTGCTTCGTTTCCAATACTGTCTAGCTAATCATCCATGCAAAATTTTTCAATAGCTTTCAATACTTCTGGATACTCCTTCAAAACTGTTCAGGTAATCATCCACGTAATGATATTTTTCAATAGCTTTCAATGCTTCTGGATATTTTTTTTTCATATTTTTTGTTATTTTCACAAAGGACTTTTGCGTATCCTTTTTCAACAGAATTTTCATCTTTTTGCAATATTGCTCTCCAAATTACTTATCTTTCTGCATTTTCTTCTCTACAGTACATATATTCAACTCAGTATCTCTGCTGTCTGGCAAATTGATATTTTATTTGTTCCAAAGCAAACCAATTTCCCAATAATTGTTTTATAACTTACTACATGTTTCTTCCATAATTTGAAGCGCCTGTTTGTCTTCTTCTCAAATGTGATTAGATTTGTCATATTCAACTTGAAAATTATCCATCATAACAGGTCATGGAATAGTAAGTTTTGACTCGATGTTTGAAATATAAAGAATTTACATGAACCACACATCCTAATTCTGATATAGGTTATGAACCCGAGTTCGCTGACCCAGCATCACTTAGGGATAGAGTTACGCATACGTAACTTATAACAAGTCCAATGGGAGACCCCTGTATAACATCTCTGGCTACTGTTAAATCGATGTAGTCCCGATCAATCAAAATCAGGGGTTTTGCATTTCTAAAATTGACCAATGAAATTCGTGACAGTTGATTCCAAGTTGTCGCTAAATTTTTGACATATACATATTGAAAAGGAAGTTTATTTGAAACGTTTCTTACGTTTGACATGTCAAAAATTTCCTGATTGTGAGTTCCTTGAATTTTAAAATTGACACGTTTTGATCAGTCATCTGTATAGGAAGTATTATTGGTCCAATACATTTTTAATGAACCATTTACATCATCCATTCCTTTATGAAGAAAAATAACATATTGTCTGATCGCCAATTCGGATTTAGAGAAGGCAGGTCCACGGAGGACGCTATAAGTCATCTAGTTAATAAAATCAGCCAATACATAAATTGAATATTAAATTTAATTTTATTGTAATACTCCATGATCTCAATACTCCTAGGCTTAAGTTAAATATACCCTTTTCCACACACAGGGGAAACCCTCGTGGAATCTTCTTATATTTATTCATAATTACTTAATTGTTTTACTTGTATATGGAAACTTGCCGTCGAAATAAATATTATTATTATTATTATTCCCATCTCCTCAGCAAGGTTGAAGTCCGTCAAAGTAACTGTGCTTCCTTCATCAAAAAGTGCCTAAGTTTCCATCAACTTTTTAGGGTAGATAACAGTGACAGGAACTCTTCAAAGTAAAAATTTTATATTCGGTGTGAATCGGAACAAAATGTGGATTTTATGTTTCTTCTTCTTTCTTCTCAGCCGTGATATTGAGGAAGTTATTGTATAGCAAAATGTGTTACATTTTTGTAAACTGTCCAGTGAAAATCAGGCAATATATTTTGGTTCATTTACTTTGATATACTAATATGGACTGTTTATCTAGACATCTTCTATTCCTTTCAAAAGTGGATTAAACATCACACGCTGAAAGGTAAGAACTCGTTAATCCTTAGCTCGCACAATTTTCAACTTTGAGGGTTGTCGTTTGTAGGGGGTAAGATCAAAGCTGTTAAGAAATATGTAATAAAAGTTAAGATTTGAATAATGATTTGTTAGGTTATTCTCAACTGAGATACGTTTTCTTGTTGATGATTATTCAATATCATCATACTTAGTTATGTTAGGTATATAAATCAAGCAATACTAAAGTCCTTTTAATTTTTATATTCTATGGAACTCATGTATCACTTCAATAAACTTACTGAAAATATCTTATTTATAGCTCTCATCAGACCATATTTGTTCTCAAATAGTCTTCATCATCAATTTTATCCAGGTGAGTATTCAAGAATTCCTCAACTGAATCAGTATTCCATTTTTCAATGGCTACAGTCTCCTGCAGATGTCCATCCTTATCATAAAGTTTGATGATGGGATCTAAGCCTCTTACATATTTGATTTGTAAGTTTGGAAACAGGGAAGGCCGGTGACTTTTAATGAATGCTTGGATTTGAGGGTATGCTCCGAATTTGCAGGTGCAGACTTCCAGAACAGCTTTATGATATGTTTTTTCTGTTGGGCCCACATCATCCTGACGACAGCATTCTTTACAATGACTCCTAAAATGTTATCTCAGTTTAATTATTCTGCTTTTGTCTAAGATAATTACCCACATTAGTTCTGTCAAGTTGAATCTAGGTAATTGATCGCATGATGAACAAAGTAAATTGGCTTTATGTAAACCCAAGGACCAACAATCTTCTGTAGAAAATTCGGCTAGTACTAAATTCTGAAATATAACAAAATTCAACTTCAAAGTACATAGAAGTTACATTTATAAAAAAAATACATACAACGAATAAAATAATAAATATTGATTTCACGATATACATATTTTGGAACTATTAAATTAAAGTCTGTGTTTTAATTTCTTTGAACAGTGGCACAAGAACAAAACAACTAAAAATTAAATTATTTTAAAATAACAAGAATTGACATGACATAATATGTCAACATCTACGAATCACATTTACCCATATGGCAGAGAGCGGTGTTGCCAGAAATATTTTAATGATTGCGAGACGTGGAGAAAATTGCAAAATTATTTGTTTTCAATGATTCTAGCGAATTATCCTGGAGTAAAAAATCAAAATATGGGTACAGATATATTATAGTAAGTTTAGTAGTAAATTTGGAAATAAAAAAATGATTTCACTAATGGATTTATTTACAACAGGATATAACTCATCCTCAGATGATGTATATCCTCAAACAACCTACATGTAACATTGCAATGATATTTATGAAAAGGTATGTTATTCCCGAATATCAGAAGTGCAAGACTCTTAAGTAAAGACGATGATATATTTCCTTATGAAGACGAAATCTATGGGATTGATAGAGAACTCAATCCTCGAATATCAAAGATGAACAAGGATTCCCAAGGCGGTAAGTTGCAAAAACAAACTTCAACATCGACCACCGACAATATTCGTCCTCTGTCTTTCACTGCAAGGCAACTAGCTGAAAATCAGAAACCGAACTCAATGTATTGGTGATCCAACACCAGACAGTGCTGTTTCAACCCGCCACATGTCTCATCATTGGTGTAAGGTTGAACCACAAATGCATTGCTGGACTCAACTGTCCTTGAAGAACAAGCCTGGAAAAACAAGGGCCACATCTTTCCTTATGAAGACCCCATCTGTGGAATCGACAGAGAACTCAGCAATCCTCGAATCTCTGTTGCGAGGCAACTGGTTGAAATACAGTGCCTAGACAGTGCTGTTTCCACCCGCCATTACTGGTGCTAGCCTGAACCACAAATGCATTGATGGACTCAACTATCTTCAACAGAAAATCCTGGGTAATACTCTTCTCCAAGCACTTTTACTTTCCAGCAACTAAGTTGGCGTTTTCGGTGGTGTATTTTTTTAATTTTTTAAAGACGCCAACTTGTTTGTTAAAAGCGCGATAAGATTATTCGCTTTTGGTGTTTGGAAAAAGTGCTTCTTTTTGAAACTATCCTTATTTCTTATACTTATGTGTCTGAGCATCTAGGTACAAATGTGCAGTGCGGTCGTCGGAATAATGCGCATACGTCATCAATTTGTGCATCCGATATAAGTCAATAAATTGATGAAAACGAAACGATGTGACTATGGCACAGGGTTCGTTTAAAGGGGGGGGTACAACAAGCGGGTATCTCTGGTAAGTGGTAAGAGGAAATTTGTGTTCCTCCAAGGAGGTCATGTATTTGTTCAGACGAGTTTTCAAATTCAATTTAATCAAATGAAACACGCTGCGGAATATATCAATCGATAAATCCATTAGTGGACATGAATAAATTCAAGAACTCGCCTTTTCGACTGATTTCACAAAAATAAATTGCGCTAAATTCTTTATTATTCTTCTTATAGAGATAAAAAAGTATTTCATCAAAGTTTCATATCGGGTATAAGTTCTGTCACAGAATCACACTCATCTAGCAAAAATTTTATTTTGAGGGTCGAATTTCTGTGGCCTATATTCTGTGTTGATGATTTTAATGTCACTTTTCGCGGTAAATTCAAATTTCTTGAAACTTATAGCAAATGACAAACGTGATGGCAAGTGATCGCGTAGGTATGTAAACTCTCCCAACTATCGTATTGGACTACGATAAGCCTCTTTTCATACCTATAATTAGTTTTAATTAGGGTAGCAAATGGAACATGATTTCTTTGAAATTTCTTTTCATATTTTATTTAGTATTATGGGTAGTAGTAGTAGTAGTTCATTAAAATGTTATATGTTATCATATAAATGATGAGTGTTTTTTTGTTAGGTGATGAAATACAACACTATTCAGACAATAACAAACGCCAACAGCATTGGAGGACAAGTAATGGTACGCCTCAAAGAGCATTTGTATGTCTTACAGGAGCTGTAGTAGGGATTATATTGAAAATAAGTTTGGGCACATGGGGGCGGGCTCGCCATCACGTTTGGCCGTTGCTGTATATATAATTTAATTTCGATTGGGGAACTATCACTATGTCACCTCGGCAGGTTATTAAGACAACATTTCAATGAAACTAGCTTCACATAGTATTATGTTCACGTTCAATAACAACTTGACACATTTTTTTAGTTGATGATAATCACCTTCAATATTGTCGTCTGTCAAAAAAAATCATGGTTCATGCTTTATGCTTTTTTGTATGATATTCTGTAATCAAAGAACAGATTTTTGTTATTTGGCTGTTTTTGGATGCTTATTTATTTGTTTATCTGACAATTGTGAAAAACAGATTTGCTTTTTAACCATTTGGGGAATGGAAAAGACAATGTTAATTTTCTGTTTCATAAATTACGGATATTGAACAAAACTATAATGTTCCAGTAATCCGTCTCCAAAAAAACTGCTCAAATATGTATCCTGGTTTTACAATATAATATTTATTATCTTTCCCTATCACATATTACTTTTTCTCACAGAAATATGTTATCAAATTTTTACTACAAGAAGCAACCCTCTTTTTGGCTTTTTCTGTTTTGGAGTATAATAACAATTACTGGTGTTTATTGAATAAAGCAACTCATCTCTTGTTACTGTTATTGCAATAACTACTTTTCGCTGGTACAATCTTAATTTTTTGTTCAACCAAAGTCAAGTTGTTTCTCGTTACCAGTCGTCTATAAATAGGTACAATATGTTTAACATATACCCCCAGCCTTGAAAAAACCCCTTTCAAGATTAAGTAAAAAATTCCAGATTATCTATAATGAATATGTAACATAAAACAATTAACACCTTATGAATGAATCAGAAATCATGAAATATTATCCTCAATGGGGAGGAAACAGAGTTTTTCAATTGATCGTCTTTTACATGTTCTCACTGTCGCCACTCTGCATATTCCATCTGGACCAGGATGGAGCTGCACAATTCTGCCTATTTCCCAACATATTGAAGGCAAATTACTGTCTTTAACCAAAACCATTTGGTCGTTTTTGAATTGATGTTGGGAAGTTTTTTATTTCACTCTTCCTTGAAATTCTGCAATGAATTCTGTTACAGATTATATATTTTGTTTCTTTCAAATCTATGTAATTCATGTATCATTCAGTATATTTTTTGTTCCATTCATTTAGCTGTGAATGAGATTTGTTTATAAAAAACTTATTGTTGATTGTCAAAAAATGTCAATAGATGTCAAAAAGTAAAATTTGAAATTTATTTGAAAAATAGAGTACCTATTGAAAGAAATTATAAACTCTTTTGACCATTTCTGCCAAAATAGTTGCTGCAACTGTTGAAGCTTCTGGAATCTTCCCAGGAGTATCAGTAAGGAAAGGATCAGGTAAGGAAACTGGAGACCTTCCAAGTAAAAATGACCAGGAGTCAAATCTTCCAAGTCAGAAGGATCTGACGAAAGGGGAGTTAGTGGTTGAGAGTTCAGTATCAACTCAACTTCGGCTAATAATGTCGAGAAGTCAATTTTGATTTTCTCATCATCCTTTTCATATGAAATTTAAATGACTTTATCCCCGCTTCCCATAACCCATAATCCTCCGAAATGTGGTGAATATGCAGGAATAAACTTCCAAGTAATACCTCCATTTGCAAATGATTCATACAAAACTGTTTCATTTGACCTGAGAAATTCTCTCAATCTTTTTAATTCTGAATTTGCTCCAATGAAAGTAATTCCAGTATCAGAGAATATCTACCTTTTGTGGTTTACCACAACGTGCTACAAAACGTTTAAATGTATTGTAGCTATGAATGCCTCTGTTGTCACATCTGTGACCAATACTAAATGAACTGCGCGATTGGAAAAACAGGTGTATATAACGACATAACATTTTGAAATCGAACGACCACCTCCTAATATAGTCTTAATAAAAATGGCCTAGCATAGTCAACATGTATCACAAAAAATGCTGGTGCAGTTGACACCCTTTCTTTGGGAAAATGTCCCATAATGGTTTTGCTCTGAAACGACCCTAAACACGAATGCACTGTTTATTTTGCTAAGTTGCTTTAATTGGCCAAATTGATTCTCTTACTGATGATAGTAACATTTGTGGACCTGCATGAGTCTGAGATGTTCAAACCGAAAAATTAACTTAGTTAAATGATCACTGGCATGTAATATACCTACCATTGGGAACTTCTTAACAAAATTGAAATCTGAAAGTTGCAGGCGACCACCTACCCTTTATACACCCAATCCATCAATGAATGATGGGTTCAATTTGACTAAGTAACAATTTTTCATTCCCCCTTTTGTTTTCAATATTGTTATTTCTTTCTCAAAACTTTCGTCTTGAGCTAACCTTTTCAGTAAGATGAATGAATATTCGAGATCTTCTACGGATAGTTTTTCTATTTTATTACAGTTGGAATTACGGTAATCATAGGTATATAAATCTCCCAGAGTGAGCCAATATCCTTTTCATTTTATTCAAACTAGAAAATATGTGAAAAGGAAAGACTGGACCTTTTTTTAAACCAATATTGTTTGAAATTTACATTTCTTTTCCGCGATATGATCTGATTGTTCAAAAAGCCATTCAGACCAAAGTTCTTTTCTTTTGATAACCAATAAAGTCCGTGAAATCAATTTTTGTTATCTTTTAAAAGCGAAAGTGAATCACCTTTAGAAATTAAATTCACCGGATTATCCTCAGTATTCACATAATGCTAACGTTTATAGTTTGTTAAATCTTGAATTTGAGACATTTGATTATAGCTACAAAAATTTGAAAATATATGGCTTGAGAGCACATCCAACCAAGTGCCACTGTTGAATCGTTCCAAAAAATAAACCTTGTCAAAGTCAATTTTCAAAGAACGAATTACTTTATGTACCAATTTGGTACATAGCAATGCTCCACAAAGTTCTAACTTTGGTGTGGTAAGGGTTTTTATTGGTGCGAGATTACCTTTTGCACACAATAAATTCACAGAAATGCTAGTATCTTCCCCTATACTCCGTAAATAAATGCAAAAACCATATGCACGAAGAGAAGCATCTGAGAAAGCACTTAGTTCAAAAAATTTGTATTTTCTACAAATTGCTTGCCTTTTTATTGTCAGAGAATTTAAATTAATTAAATCTGTCTGAAACTTCATCCATTCTTGACCAATATCCGAAGGAACATAATCATCCCACGACAGCTTTAACATCCACAACTGTTGTAAAATTAATTTTGGAATTATTATACAAGAACTTACTAAACCCAACTGATCAAAGATTTGCGAAATATATGATAAAATGGACATTCTGAATGTTCTTCAAAATTTCATTACTATTATATAGACTACCATTTTCTCAGATAAAACCTTCCCGACTCAAATACTTACGATACTTCATTACAAAGTTTCAACGCTTCGTATATGGTTTCAGCGCCATTCAAGAAGTCATCAACATTAAAATCGTTCGCTATAGCTTGCGACACAATGGGGTATATTTCAAGGTTTTTTTAGATATGATTGTTTTAAACGGACTGGATATTAAGCTGAAAGTTACAGTATTTAAATCGTAATTACCGATTTCCTTGGAAGGATTCTTCCGGCAATTTTTTTTGCAACGCTCGTTGTTTGTTCTTCACCCGTATCTGACGAAACATGCGAGCAACGTCTGCACTAACAACGTAAGCGTGTATCCGAAATTTCAATAAAATTGTTTCAATATAATTTTGCGTAGGTGGTCCCGCATATGCAATTCATTAAGAGACACCCCATTCTCTGAAGAAGGTGACCCATCGAAAACAACTCTCAACTTTGTAGTTGTACTGTATTCTTTCATTACTTCCTGATGAGACAAATAATAGAATATACCTTGGCTATTTACATCACCTCTCGTCGTATGTCCCGATAGTTCGTAATCTACCATAAAGTCAACATACATATTTCTCAAATCTTTGTGTTTAACTAAACGTTTTTCTAATGGACAGAACTTAGATGAAGCTCTTTGTTTTGAATCACCTAATTTTAAAACTGATTCTTTGAATGGAATCGAAACTACGAATATACCATCACTATTTCGAATGGTATTTTCTACAAAATGATTTTCACACTCTTTCTCCTCTTGTGTCATGTTTTTTTCAAATTGCTGGTTTTGCAACCTCCCAAAACTCAGCTAATTGATTTAGAATCGTATCATTTCTAGAAATTAAGCCACAAAAAGTAGTCTTTTCTGTTTCGGAATATCTCATTTGCCTACTTATAATGCAACCCCGCTTGGTGTTATGCAAAACTGGCAGATTCTAACATAATCTTTTCCGAATTCAATAAATTCCTATTAATAAATCCACTTCATGTGATACATGGAACTGAGGATCAGCCAAATGTAAATTCGATGAAATTCGTAACTTATAACAAGAAATTGAGCGTGAAGGTATTTTTCTCCTATTTTGTCTTTAACAAAACACATAAACTGAGATATGAAATCAGTATGACATCAGGAGATTTTATCATCAATGACATTGTTTATATTGAGCAACTATCTACATTGTTGATACCCGTTGCCGAAATGGGGACATCGGTTGTTAGTAATTTTAGTTTATTCAAACAAATGAAATGAAATTGAGATTCGCAAAGTTATCGCAAACTAAAACTGGGAATGATATATAATACTTCTACACTTTCATCATATTGCGAAAAGTAGCAGTTTGTTCAATTTCCTGTGAAGAATTGCCCTGTATATTTTGTGTAGTGATTTCCAAATTTTTCTTTTCCTTGGATTTGTCAACGTGCAATGAACTATGGTGCTTGAATCGACATTTTTTGCATTCAATACCAGAAGAACAAAATTTACTGAAATGACTTGGTTTCAAACAGCACAAAAAAAGAAGCAACATTTTTGCTTCAGCAATTTTTTTTCTGCGGTTTCTTTTATAACAATCGTAAATTTTGTGAGATTTTTTACACAAAATACAGGAAACTGACTTTTATTATTGTTACATATGCCTTGGAGTTGATTTCTTTAGATTTTAACTTTGCAGAACATTGACTCAATGCGAATGTTTCTAGAAGATCCGCGAGGCTTTTTATAAATTTATTGAAATCTTCAAGAGTGGGCAATTCTTTACTCCATTTAAATGACTCCAATTTTCGTAAAGATGTTTTATCAAGTTTGACGGCCAACCAGAATATAGTCAAAATATCCCAGTGTTCTGTAGGTTGTTTCAAACTTTCCAGAGCCCGCAAATGTTTATTAAAGGTATCCAAAATTTTACTCAGTTCATGAGACGATTCACATGATATAACAGGCATATCATGAATCGCAGGAATATATATGGTTTTGAACTAATAATATCTTATTATCAAATCTGTCTTTTAATATTTTCCGAGCAACTTGGTAATTATTAGCAGAAAATTTAATGGAATCAATAACTTGTTTAGCATTACCTTTTAGTACTGATCTCAAATTGTGAAAATTTCGGATATCTCCAATGGCAGAATTTTCATGAATCGAAGATATCTTTAAATTCTAACCATGTATCGTAATTACCATTGAATGTTATCAAATACATTTGTGGTAACTGAACATTACGACACTTTTCTACTGATCTCTTCTTTATAATTTCCCCTGTGATGGAAAACTATTTTGTGGTGTAGCATTTTTGCCATTAAATGACATATATTTTTCTGAAATCCCTATGGCAACTGAAACAATCTATGAACACTTCAATCTAGCAGACAACTATTATAATCTTCATGCAGCTGAAAATGCAAATGCGCTACTGGAATCAATGAAGTTGCCCCAGAGTGCCAATTAATTTTTATTGTTTCATAATTTGAATTACTTTCTTTGGATAATTATCTCGTAAAAATCATCCCATTCATAGTGTACCTCATTAAATTCAACAATTATTATACCTTAATTTTCTCCAATCTTATTTCTAATTTAATTATTGATGATTTTTTATCGAAAGTGTCACTACTCATGGCAACTGTCAAATCATACACGGAATTTTAAAAAATTGTCAATTTCGTTTCAATGCACCCCTTTTTCTATTTAAAGTTTTTAATTCTTTCGAAGCCATTTTTAACAATTAGGTATATATGACGCGGAAGCAGACGAATCAATTTGTAAAAATTATATGGCAAATTATTATTGACTTTTCAACAATAAAAACCCAAATCAAATCTTACTTGAGAATATCAGTCGACCAGTTAACTTTTCAACTCTCTATTTTCCGAATTCCATTAGTCCAATTCCGAAGGACCATTAGTATTATACAACCATTATGTTCAATGAATAAAACAACTCGTTTCTTACTGCTGCGGTTTATTACAATAATTACTTGGCATGAAAATTTGTAAGAACACTTACAAGTCCAGTGGAAAAGTGAATTTTCAAAGGTTTTTTATTTTTAAGTATCCTGTGGAGAAAAAATGGATTTACTTAATTATGCGCCTATCTGGGCTTTCAAAAAAATGGTTTGTAAGGTCCTAGAGAAACTAATTCTCACCTTTTTTTTGCAGGTCACGAAAAATCAGATTGCTCCCTCTTGTATAGGCACCTTAAGTGATTTATGGTAGATTAGTGGAAAAAATCAGGACATCCCTAATGGATTATTTATTGTGATAGCTGAAGTAAAGATCAAATCGTCACAATAGAACATTAATGACTTCTCTTCATAACTAAAATCCCTGATACAAAGGTTAACATAAGAAATATGTTACTGTATAACTTATTTTTTTAACTACTCCATTGACCATACATTTTATTTATTCAATAATAGTCTTGGAAGGCAGTCAATTTTTGAATTTTTTTCCTGGCGTCTTCCTGGCGCGAGTAGCTAGATTCTTTAAAGGTTTATACATCCTGAGTGTATCTCCGATGACTGGATATTACGGATGTATAAAGCGTATTTATGTTGCTAATACCTGTAGCTGAATTAGGTAAATTTCGTAAAGCGTGTTTATGTTGACTCAGGTAGTCTGGTGTGATAATACCTGTCAATAACATCCGTTGACCCTTTTTTACCTGCCGTCATGCTGTTTGCTATTCTTGAACTTTCTAGAATGGTATTCCATATTCGGTTCAGATTCACAGCTTCTTTTCCTCTGTTAAAACTTTGTATATAGTCTAGTCTATATACAAAGGTTAAAATTATCCGTGTGTTTGTAGATTTCTATGGCCTCTTGTACCAGTCGGCCATGGTATCTCTGGTCGGGGGCAATGAGTGCTTGTTCTGCCACAGCTGACTTGTCTGTTTGGCCTAGTCTGCAGTTCTTTCATACTTCTTCAGCCTTGCTCCCATTGATCTTTTGGTGGTTCTGATGTATACCTTCCCACAAGTGCACGGTATGCGAGGCGTACATATCATAAATACGCGAAGGACTGTGGCTCAGTATGATTCGGGTATGGTCCTATGGGGTTCACTGTGACAATATCATTATCTCCGTCTTTTTCTAAAATTCTTCTAGCGCTGACGTTCAGTCAAGCACAACCAGCCGCTATTTTGAAATGATCACGATTTGGTTTGTTTATAATTCGCCAGAAAGAAATTTCCAAAATTGTTTATTAGATATTTTCTTTAAAATAAAAAGCCTGTAAATACTTACTGGTGTACTACACATAAATACTTTACCGCTCTTTGTAACCTATATTTGATTTTTTTTTTATTTCAATTATTTGAAGCACTGTGTGATGGGGTACATTGTGAAGTGTACCCCAATATTGAGTTTAGTAGTTCTATATCATATTTGCTAAATAGTTCTTATAGGTTATTCATCTTCTGTCTGTTCATGAGTTAATGTAATAATGTTCTCTCAATTAGTAGTGTTTCATAGACCTTCCCATGATATACATAGTACCCCAAATACGGGGCATTCTGTGACAATCGACGGATCTCTTAAATGTGCCATTTAGTATTTTTTGTTATATTTGATAAGATGTGTTTAATGAGAGTAGANGTCAGCTACTTGTGCAATAACAAGAATGTTTAATTTTAGCTCTCGATAATATCATAGTCTGCCTTATACAAAAATGTCTACATTATATATTCGTTTTGTATATGTTATAATCATTTTAATAAGCATATTCTTTTAAAAAGTATAGAATAAACTTTTTAGCATAATTATTTTTGATATTTAATTATGTTAAGTGATCCATTATCATCCAAACAAAAGAAAACATGATTATTTAACCATATGTGGGTAATTTATACTGCCAACCTCAGAGACAATACAGAAGTTTTCTAAAGCATATAAATAAAAATTTTCGAATCATTATTGAGTTGTCTTCCAACATACCAAGGATATTTCAGTATTTTTTGAATAAGCAATTATTGTGCTGGAAACCCCAAAAGATTAGGAGAGGCTGTGCGACAGAAAATTTTTTCCATAATCGAAGTGAAAAACGTTTTGTTGTTGTCAAATGGCATTTGTCACTTTTAACCAGTAGTGAAGCTACAATTAGAAGCTCCTATACAGCCCAGTCCCAAAAATGTTATTTTGATAACTGCAAATTTTGACAATATTCTACCAGTCACTAGTTTTTTAGACAGACTAAGGGTTGAAATGAAAATAATGAGGAAAATTGTACTTTTTATTCAATTCCTCGTTATATCTAAGGGCCGATTTACATCCTAGTGTTTCCTTAGTCTTTTTTCTATTTTAGTCTATGTCGTTGAAAATATTAAACATTGTCAATTTATAAGCAGTTGTAATTCTAAGAAATAAAACTAATGACAACATACAGTGCTACCAAATGGAACATAATTGGGTGATTTGTCAATTTCAACAAATATGGCTCTTCAGACTGATTCTGTATAATAATCAACTTTTACCACAAAAATTATTTTTTTCCAAATATCATTAACTTTCAACAATCAACTGAATTCAATTAATCTATCATCTGGTATTTGTATTAGATTAGTTGAACAAGAACTTGTTTATGTTCAAGGGCATTATTAATATCCATATTTCAGAATTGAATTAGTAGGGCATGCCAACGTATAAGCAATTCGAAATTATTTCAGAGATACACTTGTGATGGTTTTAATGGAATATAATTTAAAATTTTGAAAAAAAAAATTCAATTACCATTATTAAAAATTGATACTAACCATTTTCCATTATTTGTTGCGAAATACACCTAGCCACGACTAGCCTAACATTTATGACAGGGTCCCAGCTCAAATCTAGTAAATGAGGCAGTATTTCGGAAGCAAACAGTTCTGTTGATAAGGCCTCTTCTTTCAATAATTCTATACATAAAAGACAAAATGTTTGCCTTCTTTTCCATTTCTTAGAGTGAGCTAAAGTCTCCGCTAACTTTAGCAGAAGGCAAGGAGCCAGTGCTGGTTCTGATGATGTATACTTCACTATTTCACATATCTGAAATTGAAAATTAGGAAACTACCATTTATGGAATTTTAGTGTGGCGAGATATAGACAAGAACTATAAAAATATAAATTTACCTAAAACAAAAAAACAATTACTTGCATACCACCGAAAAATGTTTCAAAGATGAAAACTTTATATGAAACAAATTCTCAAAATTAATTTTTTGTATATGATTTTGCTCGTTTGAATGTTCAAAAGAATTTCGTAGCTGACAATTAGTCTAAACATTTCAACTAGGTTAGAACAATTTCGATAATTGATATTTAGATTTTGGTTAATAAAAATATTCTTCTGTCTGTTCATGAGTTAATGTAATAATGTTCTCTCAATTAGTAGTGTTTCATAGACCTTCCCATGATATACATAGTACCCCAAATACGGGGCATTCTGTGACAATCGACGGATCTCCTTAATGTGCCATTTAGTATTTTTTGTTATATTTGATAAGATGTTTAATGAGAGTAGAAAAACTGATTATTTTGAGACCAAACAAAAGATAATTTAATTTGATAAATGTTTGATTTCAGAACACAATGTGTCCTTTTTGTCACACGGTGCCCCACCTTACCCTACACTTTGGGCTTCATTGCCAAATAACTATTTCATTTGTAGAAATGCTGTTGTGGAATAATCTCCTTCCTAATGAATTTAATCTTCAGCGATTCAAATCCTACATAAAAAAGAAGGGTTTTCAAGTATTGAACATCCTGCTTAATGGTTATCAACAGACAGTCTTACATTGTCATATTCTCCATTTTCCGAATAGGACTTTCTCAAATCCAATGTGAATCGCAAATTTCGCACAGGCATCGCTCTTAGAGCGCCTTAAGGATTTTCCTGCAACTTCTGAGAGTTGTCGCTCGTATGGGGGCGACAGCTGATTAACGGAAAAACAGATTTCAAACAACGCTGGTTTCGTCCTCAAAAAAAATTCCATAACACAACAAATGATCAAAGGCTTGCGGGAAATCTATGAAAAACCTGCATGAAATTTACTATCAAATGCATTTTCACTATATGCTCATTACTGCATCCGAAAAGATGTTATTTGTGCAGTTTTTTTCGTTAATCAGCTGCCGCTTCCTTACACTCCCTCAGTAATCGAAACTTGTGCGAACTAAGGATTACAGAGGTCTTACCTTTTAAAATGTGGCTACTGTATGAAGTGATATAAATTAAAATTTAAACGCTGCCTCAATGGGAATGAGCAATAAATATTATCATTACACTATCACTTATGATGCACTGTTTGGAACCTTTGGTGTAGTAATGAATATTACTGGAGTTTTTTCCCACAGCGATTCAAATCCTACATAAAAAAGAAGGGTTTTCAAGTATTGAACATCCTGCTTAATGGTTATCAACAGACAGTCTTACATTGTCATATTCTCCATTTTCCGAATAGGACTTTCTCAAATCCAATGTGAATCGCAAATTTCGCACAGGCATCGCTCTTAGAGCGCCTTAAGGATTTTCCTGCAACTTCTGAGAGTTGTCGCTCGTATGGGGGCGACAGCTGATTAACGGAAAAACAGATTTCAAACAACGCTGGTTTCGTCCTCAAAAAAAATTCCATAACACAACAAATGATCAAAGGCTTGCGGGAAATCTATGAAAAACCTGCATGAAATTTACTATCAAATGCATTTTCACTATATGCTCATTACTGCATCCGAAAAGATGTTATTTGTGCAGTTTTTTTCGTTAATCAGCTGCCGCTTCCTTACACTCCCTCAGTAATCGAAACTTGTGCGAACTAAGGATTACAGAGGTCTTACCTTTTAAAATGTGGCTACTGTATGAAGTGATATAAATTAAAATTTAAACGCTGCCTCAATGGGAATTAGCAATAAATATTATCATTACACTATCACTTATGATGCACTGTTTGGAACCTTTGGTGTAGTAATGAATATTACTGGAGTTTTTTCCCAACACCAAATCGTTATTTTCAACACCTTAACAAGTGTTTCGATCACTGAAGATGATCACTTGGTGATCGAAACACGTGCCGAGGTGTTAAAAATAACGATTTGGTGTGGAGGAAAAACTCCAGTAATATTACACGATCATACAATAAATATTCAAGTACACATAAAATAAAATGTAGACAAATATAATCTTTTAATACATATTTTACAACTTACAATATTACAAATTTGACGAAATTTTTGACAGTGTAAAACTCGGAGAAATAATTTCAACAAAATAGGAATAAACTTCAGGAATTACAATTGTATGTTAAAAACAGCAAGTTATATAAATTTGAGGAGGTAAAATAAAATTGAAAAAGTAGAATCAATACATCATGAAAACAATAATATACAACCCTATTTTCCTCAACTTTGTACAAATCACTGTGGAAAATGGTAATGTAAACAGGAATAAAACTAGGCGAGAGAAAATTGGCTAAACTCCTGCTGATTGACGAACATCAATGTCCTTATCGGCCTGTAACCTTCTCAGCACTGTTTGGAGGCTCTCATGATGTTCGTTAGATGGATCAGCAAAATATTCTGCAAGAACGGTACAGTCAGCTACTTGTGCAATAACAAGAATGTTTAATTTTAGCTCTCGATAATATCATAGTCTGCCTTATACAAAAATGTCTACATTATATATTCGTTTTGTATATGTTATAATCATTTTAATAAGCATATTCTTTTAAAAGGTATAGAATAAACTTCGTAGCAAAATTATTTTTGATATTTAATTATGTTAAGTGATCCATTATCATCCAAACAAAAGAAAACATGATTATTTAACCATATGTGGGTAATTTATACTGCCAACCTCAGAGACAATACAGAAGTTTTCTAAAGCATATAAATAAAAATTTTCGAATCATTATTGAGTTGTCTTCCAACATACCAAGGATATTTCAGTATTTTTTGAATAAGCAATTATTGTGCTGGAAACCCCAAAAGATTAGGAGAGGCTGTGCGACAGAGAATTTTTTCCATAATCGAAGTGAAAAACGTTTTGTTGTTGTCAAATGGCATTTGTCACTTTTAACCAGTAGTGAAGCTACAATTAGAAGCTCCTATACAGCCCAGTCCCAAAAATGNGGAAGATTCACTCATCTTTTTTTTATATCAAGATGGAGTAGTAGAAAGCCAAGAACTTTCTTTCCCAATAATAATAATCTTTATTGGTTTCAAAGTATCAGCATTGCACCTATGCGGAGCCGGGGCAGATCGCTAGTTTTCTATAAAATTTGCTTATCTAGATATCAAAACATCTCAAGTGAACATAATGGCGGTTCCATTCCATTCCAAAGTACAAATAATTTTTTAGTGTTATGCCAGTGATATTCAAATTTCAAAACTTCAATAAACAATTACTCACCAATGATATCGCAGCTTGTCGTACAGCTGCTACCTTATCGCAAAATAAATCTATTGCAATTACTCCTAGGAATTTAGTAGAGTCGGAAGGCTTGAAAAGTCTCACAGCATCCAATAATTGTTTTGCCAACTCCTCTCTAAACCTCCAATTCCACTCGTTATCAGTTTGTAAAAATTCAGCCAACCTTGGAAGATAAGCATTCCTTTTGGTGGGATCGATCAATTTCAAAAAATGAGCTAAATGTTTCAAAACGCCTATCCTAACTTCGTCCAAATCCTTAATAAAACCGTCAAATAAAGGCGTTAGGTTCGTGGTTGCTGCTTCAGGACCTAATATCAGAGCAAGTTCGTGTAAACCGCTAGCAACAGTCTTCCTAACTTTATATTGCATGTCGCTAGCTAAAGAATCTACTGTGCTTTTCAGTAAATGCCAGTTATTACTTCCTAGGGTGGACGCCACTGCTGGCAACGAATAGGCACAGTGATAAGTCATTTCGTTGTCTATGTTCATAGATAAATTAGGATCAGTCATTGAAACATAGTGATTTATCAGTTCCTGAGGTACTATATCTTGATCTGGTTCAGAGTTCTCACTGGTATTTTTCAAGTCAGGACCTAAAAATAAAATTGTTTTGAGATATGAAAATTTTAGATTTTCAAAGACTTTCTTGGAATAACGGTGTATTGTAGAAGCCTTCTCTAATTTATTACTTCACAATTCATTTATACAAATTTACTTATATGCATTTGTTCTAAAAAACCGATAATCATTGAATATTAATTTGAGTTCATGGTTTGATTACATGCTAATTCAGGTTTTTATTATGAATATTAACAGATTGTTACGAATTGATAAATGAATGTTTTCGTAGTAAATGAATGATTCATAATTTGATTATTTGCTGAATATATATGAATGAAATATCAAGAGCAACATCTTTCTTTCTTTTCCTACTACATCTACTAATCGGCTCCCCCCACATATACAAAATGTTCCCTATTATACAGATAATCTGAAAGTAATGCAGATTTGTTATTTGAATGAAGGCCGATTTTAAGTTTTGTGACAGCATCTTCAATTATAGGACACTATATGAAATATTTGAATAGTGACATGATAATGGAAATAAATAACTTCTATATGTAATATGTAAAATAGTTCCATAAAAAAATGTGAAGAGCACCCAAAGAAATCTTATTCCATTCTATTAGTTTTTTCCATATTGTTCTGTTGTAGAGTTGCTGTATTTATTGAAAGTGTTTTTTGGATTAATAAAAATATCTCAAGTTATTTTTTCAGTCTGATAAATTCTAATGAAGTCTATTCTTGCCACAGTAACAATCATTTTCAACAGAACAATTTTATGATGAATTATTTTAATGTGCAAATGTATAAAACAAATTCTAATAAGTTTTTTTGGTGTAAACAGCATCGACTACATTGGTCATGTTTTGGATAGGCAATTTAATAACTCCCAAACCAGCTAGAGAGCAATGGCTATTCAGTCTGTCAGACATGTAATGCTGTAGAATCATTCTGACTTTAATTGGATGAACTTTTGAAAAAAACTTTGGTCCAAGGATCGACCTCACGACCTTTCAATCTGAGTCGGAGGCACGCTAATTCTAGGAAATAAATTGCAAAGTGATAAAGGATTGACCGACAACCTAAATAATAAAACCTCAATCCATAAACTCGTCAATAAATTATCATTTTCTATATTTTAAAACAATTTCAACTTATTTCATAATTTGGAGAATGTCGTATTAAATGGTAACTTGATATGAATGAATTATCATCATCAAAAATAACATTTGTTACTTTTCTATGGCGAGGTAAAGATTAAATAAAAAAACTATTGAAACAGTTTTTCAACCCTGAAGCCTCGCATTAAAAGAAAAAACCACAAAAAGAAAAGAAACTTACTTTTCTCATCACTTAAACTGTCTTTCTCCTCAATGGATATTGTTGACGAATCATTTTCTATCGACGATACATTGAGACTATCGCCCAGATTTATGGTGGAATATAATTTCTCCAAGTGTGACTGAAAGTAACAAAAAAATAGTAATGTATCATAAATAAATACAATTTTTTAAGATTGTGCTCAGTTCAAGTATCAGAAGGACGTATTGACTTCAAATATGTATCAGAAGACCGTCGTCATGTTTCATCATGTATTCGAGAAATAACAAAATCTTACTGGTTTTCAAGAAAAACCGAATCATAATTATATGCATCAGATGTGACTGCTAGCTAAATCAATGATCAGAAGGACGTATTGACTTCAAATATGTATCAGAAGACCGTCGTCATGTTTCATCATGTATTTGAGAAATAACAAAATCTTACTGGTGTTGAAGAAAAACCGAATCATAATTATATGCATCAGATGTGACTGCTATCTAAATCAATAATAAATTACTGCATGTGGGTAGCAATATTGAATTTCATTTAATAAAAAAATACAAACAATGAAATAGATGTTACATAACTAGGAATGAACTAGTAAAAAAAATTGTACTGCAAAATATTAATTATTCTACTAAAATTATATCTCACCATTTCCAGTCACTTTCATTAAATGGATATCCCATTTTTCAAATATAGGAAAGACTAACTTCTCAAGTGAACATGCTTTCAAAGCAACATGTGAAGCAGAAATGGCTATGTCACCCCATAGAATGAAAGAGGAAATGCCTATCATGAATATGATGTGGAACGTTGAACATATTGCCACCAGAGGGACAAATTAGTGAGGGAAATTCAAAATTGTGGAAATCATTTCACAGCAATCTCCACTATTGATCATTCAAAATTAAATGCCAGCGCCATGGTGTTGAAAATGCAACACTGATATCTATATTGGATCTAGATTATATAATTAGTTACTTCCTTCCTTTTTTCGGAAGATTCCCTCATCCCTTTTTTTTATATCAAGATGGAGTAGTAGAAAGCCAAATTTTTCAATCTTAACCTATTTTCCACTTCAACTTTAAGTTTACATTTTCGCAAAAAATAATGTAAATTGATGTCATTGCATCGAGATATTTTTGCCCACAAGTCACATAGTATTGACAGATTCAACTTGCTTCTGAATCGGTCATATTGAAACACAGTTAAGGTAATCATTGACAGAATTTTTTCCAATTCACTAGAAAAATTAAAGTTATTGTGGCAAAAATTAACATTCATTAATAACTAAAGATATAAACAATGTATGTCTCTAGTTCACAACATTTACACTAGGAGGAGTATAGCTTATTTTGAATTCCCTTTACTTGCCTATTAATAATGTTTTTTTTTTCAATATAATCAATGAGGGAATTTGTGAATAGCTATAAATATCGACCACAAAAGATTAATGCCATTATTGTTGTGTAAGCACATGTATCCTGGCCCGCTCCATTGAATTTTCTTTTGAAACATTCTTTGAAAATAGTTTTGAAATTACTTCAAAATTTGACATCATAGACGAAATTATTTCACACTAAAATATGGCTTTGATTTGATTGACCAATATCGTTTGTGCCATTTGATCTAGTCAATGCACTAAGACTTAGGATTGAATGAAACTAGTATTTCATTTATGTACCAGTTGAACTGTTTGGTATATTCTCAACTCAAGACAATGACCAGTCCTATTGGAGATGATACAATTCAACATTAGACTTTTTGTTTAGGAAACTCAACACAATTAGCAATGAAAACAACTCACTCAGAGTGGTAAATATACAAACTAACATATAAAAAAATTTATTGCTACTCTAAAAATACTTACTCAAAACATATGGACCAGCTCGACCAGTTATAATGCATGTAAAATGTGTCCAAAAAAAGCTAAATTATATAATGAACTTAACAGCGTTTGATTAGTCACTTCCAGTGTTAAAAGCTAAATATGTTGGTTAATTGTTTTAGAAGGTGCAAAACTGTACCAGTTTTTATTTTTTATAATTGTTTTACCAAAATGATACATTTTTAAAAATGCACTGAAAACAATGTCAGAAATATTCAGCAGGCACTCACTACATTAGAAGTTGTTGAAACTCACTCATTCATTTCAATTATAAAGGAATACAAACACACCTTTCGATGAAAAAATATGCATGCCAAAACATAAATTTTCTCAAATGTTACTATTTGATATTGGATATCTGGTACGTTTGCAATGTTTTTTTTTAATGATATATTTTTAAGCGAAACTGAAAACAAAGTATTAGCAAAATAAAATGTAATTTTTACTTACCGCAACATCGCCCGAACCATCACTCTCTGATTTTGATTTTCCTTCTTCAACAATATCAGGGTCTAAGGGCAAATCAGGACTAACATACCAATAATTATGCGAGTTAAATTCACGTAAATCATCTTCAACAGTATCAAACAGACTAACAGAGGAATTTACCTTGTTATCAGCACCGTCTGATTTTATGTTACTACTGTCATTATTCATTGTATCATCTTCCAAACAACTCGGATTTGAATGACTAGGTTCAGTTTCACTACTTCCAAAACTATCGGAATTTAGAATGTCTTCAGATATATCAAGATTTTCGAAATCGTCTTTCAATTCATTGTTCACAATTTCAGCTAAAGTGACACATTTCTGATTCGTTATTTCATTTGGATTTGGTTCCTCATCCAACAACCCCTGTATTTTCAATAGTCCTTCTAGGTACCACTCATCTGATTTATCGTCCAGTTCGGACGAGTCACTATTAGATAAATTATTCAAATCTGAATTCAAAGGGTTCATCATTACATCTACTTCCTCTTTGTCATTGGTCAGGATCGAATATCGTTCAGTCAGTGAAAGTATCCGGGAAGAGTTCATTCTGCACAAAAAAAGATTGAAAAATTAATCTCATCTGTAGGTTATTTTGGTACAAATATGTAATAATAGACAATCTGATAGGTATAATTGGAACATCTGACATGAAATGAATCTAATTAAAATACTCTTCCCATACATGAGAACTAAAACATTATCTTAATACCGCTAATCAAGTTAGTATTGAACAGAAGATGACCAAATCATCTTCTGACGATATTAACTTGACAGTGCTCTAGTTCTGATTCATGGGAAATGTTTTCATTCAATACTTTATCCTCTTTTTTTTCGATTAACTCAATGAGTACATATGACCATAGATTCAAATTCGAAATACATTATATTGCAGAGTTTGAGATATTACTGAACTTTTTTAAACATTCGAATTCGTATGAGATTTCAAGTATAAACATGGACGCCTAGGAAATAAATTTAGCAGACATGTAAAAGGGTACGCATTCGTTACTTATTTTAATAAATATTTTGTAAAATTTTTCTAAATTTTTCTTAAGGAAGAATATTGTTTTTTTATAGATCATGAATGTCAACAACAGGGTTCTAAGTAGAAACTGCGACAATATGACTTTAACAATACATAATATGGAGTATTAGATTTGGTCGGTTGGTAGCCAGGCGGTTCGACGTGGGTGCTTTGTTCACTCACTCGAATTGACTGCCGTGTTGGTCGGTGGTTCAAGCCCTAGTCTGTACGACCAATTTTCCCTTGCTATTGTCCAACCCGTGTTAGGAATCACACGTTAAAATAAGACCTCGTTAATCCTTAGCTCGCACTAGTTTCGACTTTTGAGGGTTGTCGTTCGTAGGGGTGCGACAGCTGGTTAACGGAAAAACAGATTTTTTTTTAAACAGATTGATGAAGGTGATATAACTGAATTTTTTTTCCAAATTTAGTCCGCATTCCTACACTGAACAGAAATCAATGACTTAGTCCATGTTGTGTTAAATTAACATGTTTCGCTGACGACATCACTATCCTCTGGCATAGCAATACCGGCAAAACAAATGTGGTGATGTTTAGATGTAACATAGGGGAAGTACACTTGGAAAATGTAAAAATTGAAAATTTGGAGAAAAACAAATTTTTAGGGCTCTTCATTGATGAAATTCTAAAATTTGATTCCAATGTCGACTACTTATGTAAAAGACTAGCAGCAGGATGTCATGCAGCTAGAGTTAAGCTTATCGCCCACTTGTCCGGCACGGCACAGCCAAGACCGTCCGCCGCCGGAAAGGATTCCAGCTCTCCGATCGGAAATACTGGAAAAATTTCTCCTCGTCTTCTTTCAGATCTTTGAAAAGATGATGAAACTATCCCAGATTTGCCCTCTTTTGATAAATGGGATGGACCGACAACGTTCTTTTTTGTGACTATTTCCCTTGAAATCGCTTTCAGTATGCTGTTTGTAGCTGGACGAGTGGGCGATGCTACTACTAGTTGCCATCAGGCGACGGACAGCGCCGTGCTGTGCTGGACAAGTGAGCGATAAGCTTTGGACACTACTACTATTACAAGATCAGTTTATTTAGCACTCATATTCATGTTATGGAATTTGTTTCTGGGGAAATGGTGCACAATTTCGTTTCAATATGGTATTCTCTCTACAAAAAAGATCCATCAGATGTTTATGCAAGACTAGCTACAGGGATTCATGTCGCACATTATTGGTGAAGCAAACAATTCTGACCTTAGTATGTCTCTTTATTTTGGAAACACTGTGTCTTATCTACAAAAAATGTAAAAATCAATTTAATACCATCTCAACTTATAGTACACGTCAGTCTTACTTCATTTCCCACGTCAGTCTTACTTCATTTCCCTTCCAAAACCTACTCTAGCCCTTACACAAACTTCTATTATTTTCAATAGCAAGAAGTTATTTAATCACCTTCCCATTAGTTTGAGCGAATATATAATGAAAAGAAATTCAGAAATAAAGTAAAAAAATTCTATGTTGGGAGGCCCTATTATAGTGTGGACGAATTCTACCAAGGCTCTATCTATCGAGTAATTGGCATGTAGCTATGTGTAAACAAGTTATTGAAATCAACACGAAATGGCTATCAATGTTCATTACGTAGCGTTATATATTTACATTTATTCAATAATCATATATTCATGTACTTATAATTGTGTATCTGTTCAGCTGGGCTTAATATTGTTCTGCCCATATACTCTGCTCTTGTCTCTAAGCGTTATTATATATTTGTTAATTTAATGTCCCATATAAACATTTTACTTTACTAGACTTTGTCAATAAGATGTTCAGATCTTGGGTAATAAAATTGGCGAATTCGTTCGAAGTCTGAACCTATAATGAATTTATTGTGATATAGGAATTTTCAATACTGTTTCATATTTGATATAATCTGATAAACCAATATCCAATGCTACATTTCGTTCATTAGATTTCATTATAAACTTTTTTCAAAGGACCCATTTTGTAATACACAGCTGAATTTGTTATTACAGTGGCTACAGAATCGATAAAAGATGCACGTTTAAAGCTTCTGCGATTTCTTGTTTATTCATACATAAATCTTATATAATTCATGTAAATTGGCAGGATGAATAAATTTTATTATTATTATTCTCAAAAATGTTAGCCAATTTGGGAAAATTATGAAGAAACACAACATGAAACCAATATCCAAGTCACCGAAAACTATCAGGAGAGTGAGGTCAGCTAAGGATCCCCGGAGAGCCGTTCAATTGTTTTATCATCAGAAATATCGGCTTCAATAAACTATACCGCCGTTTTAAATTAACTTGTTATTCTACATCAACATTTTGAATTTTATTTCAAGCTAAAAAATCATGCATGAGAGTGCGGGAGTGTCCAAGAAGTTAATATAAAAAAATCCTTTTTGAAAAGTACATCTTACTAATATATACAAATCAATAGGAAATCAAGTGACTTGTACTCACATGAACTCGCCTCCTTCTTCATCCTTCAGTACTAAATCTCCCCCTTTATTGTAGCCTACATTTGTTATGGTTGGATCAGCAAAAGTTGAAATAAAGGGACCTAATGCTTGGAAAGCAGACATCCTCACCCAGCGACAATCATCCTTAAGTAATTTAATAAAAACAGGCGCCAACACTGATTTTCTAGCTTTAGGAGGGCAAGGGCAAGAAATAAACATTACTACTTCGGCACATGCTTTCCTTACACCCCAAACATCATCACAACATAAGTTAATATAGTATGGAAGCTGAAAAAAGGTAATAATCATCGTCAAAACAACATATTTAGACTAATCAAGAATTAGATATTTAAATTTATGATCAGTTTGACGAAATTGTCGTTCAAATATGTTTTCAGAAGACCGTCGTCCAAAATCATCAAGATAGGTTGCATTGGTCAATTTTTTTGTAATTGGGTTCTTAACAGAATAAGAGCTCTTTCTATCAAGTCTGAAATTTTTTAAAAAAATGTGTTAAAAATGTGCAGAAAAACATAACTTATTTCTTCAAATAAGTAATGTTTTTGGACTTCCTGTACACTAGTACAAAAAACAGTTGTTTCTTTCCCAAAAAACTGAAATACTACCCTGTTTCGAGTAGAGGAACATATTTCAAAAGCATATTATTAAATTCTTTATAGTTGATAGAACCAGCTTATATAACCAGAATAAAAGATCGACCTAGATATAAGAAGAAAAAAATAGGAAATCAATCAAATATTTCTCTCATTCTACGGTGTAAATGCAACCAACATTTATCTGTTAATAAACTTGCCTTGGAGAATAGATACTTTGTCAACTTGTTTCTGATTACAATGGGTTGAGTCAATAACTGGTATTAACAGAGAAATACTCAAAAAGTCACATCTAATCAAGAGTTATTTAAAAACTATATCTGCCGAAAAAAAATTTAACTAACCAAAATATTTTCAAAGGAATCTTTTCCAACCACTGCACAAAAATCTCCAAAATGTGCAGCACAGATTTTACGCATGTAAAACATCGGACTGGAACACAAATCTATGAACCTCTTGAGAAATACCCTTTCTGTAATGTCTCTACCAAGGAGCGGGGCCAACTTGCTCATTAACTGCAAAAAATGGAAAATTCCTTCATTTATGACTTCATATAGCAATATTTGAAAATCAAGATCTCTACCAGATTGGACAAGGCTTCAGTTAGTATAAAAATTGAAGCAAAAATGATATTTGCAAATGTTGTTTCCACTGAAATTTTAGATTTGAAACTTGGACTTTTGTTTGTTTTGTTTAGTATGGAGCCAAAATATTCTAATTTATCAACAATTTCAGTATTTTCTATGATACATCAATATTTTTGGGATGACGAAACTATATAGACAAAACAATAAATATAAGAAACTCAATACAGTTTATTAATTCTTGCAAAAATAAATAAAAATACAGGACTTTAAAAATATGTTAAGATTTCAGTTTTTTTTTTCAAGTTACCAGACGTATTTTTTAAGTGAATTGAAGTAAATACTTTTAATAAATTGCCATCACCCAAAAAATTACTAGAGACATTAAAGTGAATAATTCAAAAGTTTTGAAATTGTTGAAAGAGCACACTAACTAAAAAAATAGCTTTTTCTCCATTTAGTGAAATGTTTTTCAAACATCTTTGAAACATGTTTTCAGAAATTCTATTTCAGTGCTCTTTTTCGTTAATGTAATGATCACTAAGATAACACTCCAAACTGATTTTGAAACCCGTATGGCAAACTCGACATACAAAATAGAAATACATACCTGAACACAATGGACTTCCAAAACCACGAGAGCAATTTATTATGAGTGAAAAATTACAAATACTAATGTGTCATATTGCTGAAGAATACATATTCATAGAAACTATTCTTCAATTGGAAAATTAGTATTAATATCATTTACTTAACAAAAATCAAATAACAATCAAAACACTTTACATTTCAAGTAAATAGTTAAAAATATAGAAGAAAAAAATTACAAAAATTTAATAAACCCTAATATTCAATATTCTTACATCTTCAAGATATTGTGGCTCGAATGATTTGGTAGATTTACAGCATTCATGAACCAAAAATCCTCATGAAATAATCTCCTACATTACCAACTAGTTATTCCGCTAACAAAAAATGTCTAAACAATAAATCTGAATCAAGCTACACACACAGCCCATCTCTCTGGAACCTATCATATTTAGATACCCAACTAAGTTGAGTCAAGGAATACATAAAACAGGTAATCTTAATAATATTTTGAAAATATCTTCTTACAAATTTTTGTTTTTTTTCCACATTATTTAAAATCAGAAACCTTTTAAAATTGGAACAGAACTATTTAGTTTGTTTGAGCAACATGCTTTTTCAAAATTTCTAGTATATTAATTATTATAATATATTAGATATTCCCATAATAACAAGAGCACCAATGTTGGTGGATATAATAATAATGGACCTTAAGTATCCAAGAGAAATCACAGATATATAAATTAAAAGCATGCATTCAAAGAAAAATTTTCAGAAATCAGTGCAGGCTGCCTCATTTTTATTTGTTTCAAAAAGTTATCTTTTTGCCAACCCCATTTTTCAGGAAGTATTATACCATTCATGTACCACACATATCTGACCATTATTTGGTTTATTTTACCCTCAACCTGATTGGTGAAAGTAACAAAATTATTAAGTACAGAGACTTTAAAAATATAGATGAAGATCAATTATATACTGATTTACAGTCAATTCCGTGGCACCATATTTATGGCTTGGATACCATTGACAAAAAAGTAACTTTTTTCAACGAGAACACGAACACCTTACTGGAATTACATGCGCCTTTCAAAACAGCTTTCATTAGGAAAAAACATAAACCGTGGATTACTGGCAATATTAAAATTATGATGAGAGAACGCGATAAAAACTTAGAAAATTCAAACGAACCAAGAACAGTCGCGATTTTGAAGAATACAAACACCTTAGAAATCTCACTAATAAATCAGTAGAGAGGGAGAAAAAAGCCTAATTGAATTTTCACATAAGCAGGCATACTAATAATGCATGGGACACCATATATTATAAGAAAAAGAAGAACGATATTCCAGATCATCTTTCAGATGTGAATGACATAAATGATTTTTTCCTAAACTCAGTTCCCACTGCCGGTAAAGGCTCGGACATTGAACAGTACTACAGTGGTCGACTAATTGGTCCCGATGTAAGTTGGAGTTTTAGCAGAATCGTGAATAACAACATTTTCAAGTATTCACTGGCAGTAAAAACAACAGCTGCAGGTGCATGAAGGTCTCAACATAAAATTCATCATATTATGTTGTCCATTCATAATTGAATATATCTCTCACCTCTTGAACTTCTGCATTGAATATTCAGTATATCCAACTCAGTGGAAATTGGCTAATGTGATCCCATTACCGAAATGTGAGGTGGTCAGTGAGCTCAAAGACCTGAGACCAATCAGCATTTTACCCGTTGTCTCAAAATTATTAGAAAGAAGTATAAAAAAGCAACTTGTGGAATTCTTGAAAATATATAATATTTTGCCGGATACTCAATCTGGATTCAGAAAATGACATAGCTGTGCGACAGCCCTTCTAAATGTGACAGATCGTATCTTCCAGGCAACTGACTCGGGAATGATTACTGTTCTAGTTCTCTTAAACTATTCGGAAGCTTTCGATACCCCTTAATCATTCTGCGCTGAAACATATTCTAAGATATATTGGACTCTCAGAAGAATCTGTTTTGTTTTTTGATAGCTATCTAAGTGGTCGAAAGCAACGAGTTGTACTCAATACTAGGGTTTCTCGAACACGAGAACTGACATGTGGGGTTCCACAGGGATCCATTTTGGGACCAATTCTCTATGTAATTTTCACAACATTTTTCAAAAATGTTGTCTCGCATTGTTATCTACAAATGTATACGGATGATACTCAGGTGATGTATTCCTTCCACCCATCAGACATAATGAATGGTTGTCAGAAAATCAACGAAGACCTTGATAGAATTTTCAAAATATCCAAAGATCATTCTCTCTCATTGAATCCAAACAAATCTAAGGCAATGCTGTTCAGGAGGCTAAATGACAGACTTCTTCACCAAAAAAATGTTTGTGTTACTATCAATAACATTCCTGTACAGTTTTGTGATGTGGTGAAGAATCTTGGGCTCTGAATAGATTACTCCTTACGATTCAAAAAGCATATATCGGAATGCATTCGTAAAAGTATCTGGAAACTGAAAATTTTGTTTGGATCTCGAGCCACTTTGAATTTGAATCTTAAAAAAATGCTTTGCGAGTCTCTAGTTCTTTCTACTTTTACTTTTTGCAGTAAATTCTATAGCTCTTGCCTTACGGCAACATCTACGCAATAAATCCAGAAAATCCAAAACTATTGTCTCCATTTCATCTATGGTATTAGTAGGAGTCAACCCATCAGTCATAAGCTACGAGAAGCCGGGTGGCTAAATATGAAATCTCGCCGAAAACTTCACTGCTCCGCCTTATATCACAAAATAATCACTACCCAAACTCCCTCCTACCTTTATAGAAAGATTGTATTCCGCACTGACGTTCACAATCTTAATATAAGATCGAAAGGTACACCACCAATCCATAAATCATCATTGTTTAAGAGAAGTTTTTCTCATAATGTATCAACCACTTACAATGCTATTCCAAATGATTTTAAGAATATGAAACTCTCCTCCTTTCGAAAAAATTTGTTTGAATTTATGAAATCCTCTAATATCTAGAAAGCGGTTATTTGAATCAGCACATATATCTATAGTTTTACTCAATTTTCATTAGTTATCTGCGATCTTTTGTTCTTTTCTTCTGTTTGTCCAAAGGTTGAGTGGAAGACCATCTTTGTGCACTCCAGGTGCTCAAGATAAACTCCGCCTTTTCAGTTTGCATAGGAAATGTTGTAGGCTGATAGGTTTCATTTTATTTTGTAATCCTGTGTTCTACTGAATAAAGAATATTATTATTATTAATATTATTTTAAGTAACCTCTTCAAATACAATATTTCGCTGCATTTTCTGTCACAGGTAACAATCTACCACAGCATTTTCAGAAATATTCAAAATGACAATTTAATCCCGAATGATAAAACCAACAAGTATAGTCAATGAATATGAATACCAGTGCCTTTTTTGCTTGCAAATGGTTCAACAATAATTCAATCTAATCTCTGTTGAGTACATACCTGCTGGTTTTATCATTCGGGACCAAATCCAGTTTATTCAAGAAAGAAATCTAAACACCTTACATTAGACAATATCCTTAAACTGAAAATAAATAGCTAGTCAATATTTTCCCAAAACTCATAACACATGAATCCAAACGTCACACGATGATATTTCTGAAATCTGACGCTCATCAAAGCTGGCTGTGATATGTAAAAAACAGCATTCCACAGCCAGATGATGAGGGCTAGAGGTCAATAGTTTTAAAGGTGGCTGGAACATGATCCACAAGACGTAGAGCAGACCCTGCTAATAAATGTTGTCACGCTCATCAAAGCTGGCTGTGATACAAGTCAAATATCTGTTTCACAACCACTTGATGAGCGTCACATCATCTCACACAAACACCTCATCCGGTACAGACATTGATAACTTGTGATCCATTAGTCTTCTTGTTCTTCCATACTTCTGTCGATTAATCAACAATATAACGCGTCAAAATGGCTGTGATACCCATAAAAATAAGGTTTCACAGTCAAATTGACGGGATATAGCATTGATGGATGTATGCCACGTTCAGGATTTCTACACAACTGCAAGATTCTTCTTCACAGACGAATATGTACTTTCACCTAGTTCATTAAAGTGGCTGTGATATCTTACTAAAAACAAGAAGTCACAACCAAATTGATGAACAGGTAAGAAGTAAAGCTAATGGAACAGATAACAAAAGCATAACTGATGAAAGAAACCCTGGTGTACACTAGACATAGCTCAGTAAAAATTGTCAATATATTGAAATAGGTTGAATGTTTTTTGCATAGATAAGAAATTCATAGATTTCAAATAAAAAATAGTCATCACTAATTTGCTGCCAAGAATACTTTATGTTAAATTCAATACTGACCCAGAAGCTTGCGTATTTATAACTCAAGCTGAAGGTTTCTAAAGAAATAAAAGGAACAAATAAAATGTAATAAACAATATGTTCATTGTTCACTTTGAGTGTCTACCAAGTTAATGTATAGATTAACACAATACCATCAAAACTGAATATGCAGTTGAAACTGCAAACTGAAATAAATTATTGATACCATAATTTTTTATGACAATGAAAGGAAAATATACAAACACGACACGAAGGTAAAAGAGGAAAATTGTAAGTTGACAAACTGAAAAGGACAGCAGAAAACGTTAGAAGGCTAAGATCCACTGACCTATAATAAACCTTGTAAAAAATCACCTGCAAATCAGATACTCTTTGATAGTGACAACAAGTTTAGAAGTTGATTCTGAGATTCATAATGTCATTACTAATTTATTGAGCATATTGCCTTTACTCATAACTTGCAGAGTGAGTGATTATTTCAAAATTCGAAATTATGAACTGTCCAAACACTTGACAATTATTTTTAGGAATACATAAAACAGTAATAGAATGGATTGTTTGCTTGAATGTTATTGGCAATTCTTCTGTTAACAGCAACTCAAATGGGTCATAACTTGAATTATGAAAACTGCCACCCATCTTGGAATAGTGAAAATGTTAAAAAAAGTTGATTGGTTATGAATGTAGTCTTTGTAACATGTTCAGGTGTTAAGTCTAACAATACAGAATGATTCAGTAAGTAACTGGATCAAATCAAGAGGGATATCCAGCAGAAAAAATATTCCAAGAAACTGGTAGAACAAGTACTAGCTGAAGAGCTAACATTTTTTTCTATTTATAACTTTATGAGATGTAAAACACTGAGAAAATAACTTTTACAACAAATTTATACATATTGACAATCTACAAACATTGAAATCAATATGCACGTAGCACCAACGAGCCTGTTACAGTGAAAGCTTTAAATGGATCAATATCGAATCAGTGGTCACACCAGGGCTTTATCCATTTCGCCGGTTTTGAATTTCACCTCTTCTTTTTTTGAGAGTCTTGACATGTTGAAACCAATCCAACAATGCTCATCAAAGCTGGCTGTGATAGAAGCGAGAATCTAAAACTGCCAACTCTGATGGGCACTGGCAAACTGAACTTATCTTTGATGATTATTCTGCAGGAAGATGCAACTTCTTCATGAAAGACAAGGTAGTGAGACAAAAAAAATGAAGGAACATCTCACTACCCATGTCTTTCAAGAAGCAGTTGCTTATTTGTAAGTGGGCCTTTTTCAGGAACTTCACAGTGAAACACAAGACACTCTGAAAAATGCAAGTTGAAAAAAAAAACTACTTACAGAGATTGCACGTGTATTGATATCTGCTGATGATTCGACCGTTGCCAAAGCCAACACAGCAGGACACACTTGAATTTCAGCTTGCTGTTTGTTGATAAATCCTTGCTCTATTAAACTGATGAGGGTAACGTGGGCAGCTTTGTCAACAGCAGTATCAGAATATCCCAAATTTCGAACGACTAATGGAATCAGATAATCGCTAACGATGTTTTTCAAAGCTTCCACTCTTGTCGAACATTCCACAGCTTGTGCAGCGATTTGGGGAACATGCTCCAGCAGTTCGGCCCTAAGAGATGATTCTATAAAAACAAAATATATTACAATGACAACTTTCAATGAAAAATGTGAACTGTCTATTCTTTTGTGATTTTATTGCTGTTATTGTATAGGATACTCGCTTGGAGCGATAACTTATAAGTTGAAAAATTGACAAAATGGTCTGGTAAAATTTGTTTTATTGATATTTTATTCATTCTTTTTTACATTTATTATATTAAATAAAATTTTATTTGTGATTTATGTATGTGTATACATATGAAATGTTCAAATAACAATTTCTGCACATTTATTTTATTTATATTTTTATATGCCTGTGTGTACTTCTGCTTATATTTTATTTCTGTACTGTGTATCATTTACTTTGTCAAGAAAACTAGACTTTTTCGATAATAAAGTATATTTTGATTTAATAATAATGCTTCTCTAAATACATTAAAATTGCTCACTTTCTACAATCTTCAATAGACCTTACTTCACTTATAACATGACTACTCCGGCTTTATCAAATTTAATTACAAATTAAATATAAATTTATGAAAGATTTGATTTTCTGATGAAGTGAATATGCCAAACAGGGTTGTCAAACAATGCAATTGCTAATGTGTTTTGGACAATGATTGATTATATTTATATTGACAGCTTCGATTTCTTCATTGATATTTCCCGAAATGGATACAGAGACAGTTTATCTACAACAGTAAATACTGCAGAAATAGCACAAAATATACTGATGTGGATTATAAAAAGACTTGAACAGCGGCATATATCACGAAGGTGTTGAATTGATAAACTCTACAAAAAAGATTCCTAAAAATAATATTTAAAAGAGACATGTTGTATCCTACAAACCTTCTTTATCAAGAGGCTAAAATATTTGATATTAGTCAGTTGTACTACATACAGTTAGTGTATTTTCAATATAAACATAAACGTCACGATTATATAGACCACGTACATAACACTAGAAATAATATTTATCTATCTATTTATAATCTATAATGTCAGTTCAAATATTTACCAAAAATAATGACACTGGAGAATATTATAAATAATATAATGTGATCAGTTTGCTTTTATGATATGATTAGAACTGATGCTAGGTTAGGTTAGGACAAAAGTGAGTGGGTCTATTCGACCCTCCACCGCAACCCGCAAGGGCTTATTGTTGCTCTTGAGGCTAACTAGGAACCTGAGACGTCCCATCCTCAACTTCTTAATATTGTAAAAAGACGAGTTGCAATAGACAAGTTTTGAAGAAAAACAATTCTTCCAAAACCCAGTTTGGTACATCAGAAATAAGAACTGATGATGATATTAACAAGACAAGAAAGTCAAATGTATTTTTATTCTCCTTTCTGAGCAGATCGAAAGTGTCGAGATAATGAGGTATTTGACCATGTTCATCTCGACATTTTCTATTCCGATTGAAAAGCATACTGAAAATATTTCCATCATATGCATCTTGGCATTTGTATCATATGCATCTATGATGAAACAAGCGACCTCTATCAACAAACTAAGCAGGGTGCAAACACTTGCATGTTTGGGAATAACAGGAGTAAAGAAAAAAGGGGAGACGCTTGAATAGTCCTTCACATTTGTAATGATGGGGAAAGCAAGAGTGTGCCAATTCAGACTAAAAAACTAACCCACCTAAATGAGACCGGGCAAAATAGAAATTTCAGAATGGAGTTATGAACATCTAACATGTTCTCCGATCACATGACACTCAAGTGTATGCAACTTTGCAACGAGCAAGGAACATTATTTCGATGCCTCAACAAAAAGAGCGAATCAAAATTTTCAGTCTGCCAGGCTGCACTGACATACCCAAAAGTGACATCAAGACTGGTCTGGGAATTCTGTGAGGAACTGAGGAGACTGGCAGACAGGAATAGGTTGAGAATATATTGAATGCCAGGACACTAAGGCAACATGAGTAATGAAAAATCTGACTAGTGTGTCAGACACAGATCCTCAACTCCATATACAGGCCCTGAACCAGATTGAGAAATGAGTCTATAAGAAACATAAAGAGTGCTGGTAGAACATAGTACAGAAGAACATAAGATACGTCCAGCAAGAGATTTGTACACACTAGTAAAGTGTGTTACGAAAATGGGTGTCACGAAAAGATGGGGGAAAATAGCAAATAAAAAATAATGTCATCATCTCTCAAATGGTACATTAAAAAGAGGCTGGTAAATTTTCGAGAGCATCTAAAATGCGTAATTAACATAGAAAAAATCAAAAGTAACATCATAGCGTAAGGAAATTTGAATCCAGTTTTTACTTCTTTGGGTGTATTCGAGCCCAGGTCATCAGTAATAAGTCGTATGCATTGAATCACTGATTTCCAGATATATGTAGAGCAGGGGCACATATATTGAATTTATTTATCATATCATGTGTATGAGTGGCAAGTTTTCAAGTATCAAATATAAATAACATGCATTTTCGTGACTTCAAACTTGTCACTTAGGACTTTAGGAAGTTACTTACTTTTCATTGACCTCTAGATCAAATTTTTATATGAAGACGGTAGATATTAGCAATTGGTGTGATTTATTGGGATTCATTTGAGAATTTTGTTCAAGTTTCAAATCTTTTTTTTAAATTGGGCAAAAAAATTGGTTTGAGATTGTCATTGGAATCAGTTTGTTGAAATCAATTCCATTTTATTTTCTAAATAAATTTGAGAGATGCACGGTTTTTTTCTCAGATGGAACCGTGCAGGCTTCATGCCTCAATTATCTTAGACCTATGAAAACCATTCTGCCATCATTAAGAAACGTAGTTTTTAGTAAATATTGTGATTGTGATATTGAACAGTAAACAATTCTACTTCGAGTAATTTTATGCACTTCCGAAGAAACAGTCATGTTTCGGTAACTTTTCCCGAGTCAAACAAGAAAAAAGCGGCAAACGTAGAAGCACGCGGTTTTGACCACCATTTTGATTTAGCCCAAAATATTCTTGCAGGTTAACCGGAAACGCTTTGCGAGAAAACAACTAAAATAGTAGAGGAATCGACTCGAAAACATGTTCACGACTTACCCCAAACATTATTAAACAATATTTCACTGGTTGTATAAAAAATCCATCGGTTTTTTCTTAAATTTCAATAAATAATAATGAGCGCTAACACAACGCGTTACAGCCATGCCGAGTTCACTACTTGGTGGCATAGCCGCGCGAAGCGCTTCGATCGCGGCGGCAAGTAGAGATCGTTGAACGCTCTATAGTACGCGCTTGTCGCACCATTTCATTCAACTTTGCGCAGCACCGCCCAATGTCTAGAGCGTCCCCACAGTAGTTGGTGGATCGTAGTTTTATCTTAATTGATATTCTCTAATTTGGAGTTCATAAAAATTATTTCTGACTCCACTACGAACCGTTATCCAAAAACAAGCCAAATATTTCACAGTTTTATCTTCGAAACAACGAAACAATAATTATCTATGCAAATAACGTTTATACATTTAATATTTATTAAGATAGGGAAGATACAAGTTCAATCACTTTGGGAATATCTAAGTTATATTTTTTGTGAAAGATATATACGGGAACCTTTAATGATAATGGAATTGCGTTACAGATTTGATTGGGCGATCAATATAGAAGGCACTTCTGGTTTCGTCATTCTCCTACGCTTCACTTCCGGTCGTTTACCAGATTAAAGTGCACCTTGACACGATTTTCGATTTGCTAAATAGCTCATAATCATCTTTTGCTATTTGCTGGAGAGAAATTAAGTTATTTTAATCTACCATTTACTTATCTACGGAAGAAATGAGGGGCAACACTACCTTTTTTTCTTTTTCTGACTTTTAACTAGGAATTATATTTTTCCGAAGGTTCAACTCGAAAATTCTGACTTTGAACTCGAAATTTCGATGTTATCATATGTAGTGTGTCAAAGATAAGGTGGGCCATCATGGGAAAATCGGCAACTATAAGAAATACACAATCGCTTGAATTTTAGAGCTTGTTCAAGTGACTTGTTGAAATTTAGGAAATTCCTATTGTCTGATCCTTAAGTGTAATTATTGCTAAACCAGCTAACTTATTAGGTGTGATTCTTATTTCAGGTCTAATAAAAAAAGTTAAATTGGTTATGGCTTATCGAAAACGAAACGTCGGATTAATAATCAGAGAGCGTCATCTTGTACAACTTGAAAAGTGGCAGTGAGAAAGTGATTTTTGTTTTCTAATAACTATATTCAAATATAATGTCAAAACAAAATTGAAACAAAATTACGAATTTCGGTTTCTTTTCGAATATCCTTGGAGCCATTCGAAATTTTGTAAACTTCGAAAAGTTTTTCAAATAAGGTCTTTCACGGTTTTCCTTGCTATTTCACCTTAACCTAACCTGACCGTCTAACCTAACCTAATAGTGTTTATTGTGTCACATATGTTATGTGGTTTTTCTAATATAACACATATTATTCTGACATAAATGTCGTAATTACCCAATTATTTCCAAATTGACGCCGGAATTTCCCCAGTTTTGAGTTAAGGATTTTTTTTTATTTGGATGATAAAAATCAGTATTACTCTTCAGATAATCAAAATGTTGAGAGTTACTAGCAAAATTACGTTATAAAATATTCGTTAAGAGGACATAATATCCGTTATATATTATTTTGAAGTCATACATATATTATTTATACAGGGTTCACGAAAAGATAGATAGATAGATAGATCAAACAAGTCCCAAACCAAAATAACTAATATCGGTACTCCACAAGGATCAGTCTCAGACCCACTGCATGAATGACACGATATATGACGATAATATGAATATACTCGCTTGAGAAAAAACACAATGGATGCAGTAGCGCATGTGTATTCTCTCGTCAATCCAACTATATATAATGATTGATTTGAAACCAACCTTTCTCCAGATCTATAATTGGGCAAAACTGTCAAATGTGTTTCAATGTATTGAGGGTATTTTGATAGCAACACTCAATTTTTGTGTTGCTTCAGAAATGCTCTTTATTAATACTTAGTG